GAGTTTCTCCCGGTGTCCCAACATTCCCTAAAATAAGATTAGTCATTCGCTTCGTGGCTGTTTGTCAAATGCGAGGATTATTTATTATATAAACACAGCGTTGGGTTGGAGGGAGGGTTGTGTTATAGTGTAAGGCAATGGCTGAAGGTGAGATTCGATTATAGTGTTTGACAGTGTAGCATTACAGAGCAATGCAGGTGGGTTTCTCTGAGGAAGCAGCACACTCGCGAGCAGCATTGAAGCTCAGAGCCTCAAGCTTTTTATTGAACTACGTTTAAGAGGCACAGTTGAGTATTTTCTAACAAACTGCTGCGCAGTCCCATTTGACCGTAGTGTGTGTGGAGCACAACGGTATGCAAGAAACCATGAGTCGCAGCAACCTCTGAGGTCACCTTAATCATTTGTTCTCTGCCTTCATTGCACTTCGATTACACCTCATCCTAGATCAGCTTGTTTGCCAGTTTGTTTATGTACTGGCAGGGAATGGGAAAGGGCAGGATTGATTGGAACTCTGTATTCGACGGGAGTGAATGGGGGAGTGAAGTGAATGGACAATTTTATTTGGGGAATTGTTGGCCAGGACACCAGGATAACTATTCAGTACTGCAGCTCGTGTCCTCTCCCGCACTTTGATTCATGAACCCCCCCCCCCGCCCATGCTTGCCCGGACGGGGAGCTGTGGGATTGAGGTCTTTTCTGTACTCCCAACAATGTGGTGCTGCCCCCACTACAAGCACTTTGTCATGTGGGCAACGGCTGAGGAACCACTGTGGAAAGACCATGTCTGTCTAGTGCTGTGTTCTACTACTCTTACGAGCAAGCGTAGGAATTGGTCTCTGCTCTTGCCGCTGTGTTTCCGTGCTCTGCCATCTGTGTGATCCGATGAATTGTAATCAGCAGCAGATTTACTGTCACTAAAGACTGACAGAACACAGGACAGGGTGAGTGGGAAAGGCTTTGTCTATTGGGATTCTACAAGGCAGGAAGTCGCATCCGTTTATGTAATGTACTATCTGTGTGAAGGTACAGTATAAGTGCAAGTTGTTGTTGTGGTTGTTGCATTACCTGTTCTGGTAAACTGGGTGTTAACGATATTGGAGAGAAAGTGCAAAGCTGTAGCTTGTTTATGGTTTGACTGGGGTTAGTCACTTGCTCAAAATATTGGGGGTATTGGGTGGAGCCAATGACTGGGTGAATCCTACCTGGTCTGTGAATGGGGAAGCTTTTTTTTTTTGTGTGGGTTTAAATCCTCCAGAGTATCGTGAGGTGAGGTGGGCCGGGCCGGGCTGGGCCGCACCTGGTGACTGAGCAGCAGCAATGACATTTTCACTTCCAGGTTGTTTGTGGGACATCCTTGTGCGCAAATTGGCCGCTGCATCAGCCTACGAAATACACGGTCACTTGAAAAAAAAAAAATCCTGTGAAGCTCTTTGAGAAATTTGGTCACTCATTCCAGGACTGTTTGTGGGACACCATTGTGTGCGATTGGCTGCTGCGTTTTGCCCACAAAATATACAGTGACGTGATGAGGCGCTGTATCAGTTGCAAGGTTTATTATAATTATTGTTGCTTAATAATAATATCAATATGGAAGAAGTAATAATGATGAGGCCCACACTAATCAGGCTTCATCTTAGAAACAAAGCGTTGATCCTCGTCCCTCGGGTCTGTGTGGTCTGTGCGCTGGGGGGGTGTGGGGGCAGCGTGTGCTTAGGGAGGGACTATGTTTTGGCTCTGAGAATACCCACCTCTTCAGTCTTGTGGTGTAGTGCCGACTATTAACGCTAACCGCTCGCTACTGATTCAGTCAGTGAATTGCAGCCACTTGAAGCCCGAGTGTTTATTAAAAGTAAATTTGGCAACACTTCACTTCCCCCACCATAACAATCTCAATTTTGATTGCACTCTTTCTCTCTCTCTCTCTTTCTCTGCCTCTCTCTCTCTCTCTCTCTCTGCACTTGTTGGCATTTCCCAACCGTCCCAGCACCGTGTCTTGATTTGTGATTCACAGGCTACAAATTGGCCGCTTTCACCTGCTCTGGCTGGCAGTCGGGTTCGGATGGGGTCAGGGTTGGGGGGAGAGCAGAGGAATTCAGATGTGCTCTGCGGAGAGGTGGTCAGGACACCGGGATCCGAGCACAGGGTTTTGGATGCTGGATTATGTCAATAATAATCCTTACATTTGATAAAGTGCTTCACGGACTATACTGTAAAGTGTAGTGACTGTACGTTGAAAGGTTGAAGCCGCAGTTCTCCACTTGGTAGCATGTTGATCTTCTTGCTGGGAAGAAATCTCCTTTGATAAAAGTTAAAAAAAAAAAATTGACACAGTTATCACTAAATATATATATATATATATATGAGAGCGGAACAAGGCAGAGCGTTGTGAAACACGGGGTTAAACCTAGGGCCTGGGGAGGGAGAAGTGCAACAAGTATTTTCCATTTTATCTCCTGTTGGGATCTGTGTCCTGTTCTTGTAGTCGGTAGGTCTGTGGTGTGTGAGCTGGTGTGCTGTCTGCTGCTGAATGGGGCGAGGCTCTGCTTCTGTGGGTGCGTCACAGCAAACCATTGCCTGTGCTCCGCTCCACATCTCTGATCTCTAGACAAGAGGTGACAGGTAAAGGAGATGGCTGAGGGCTCCAGGGGTTTGGCAGTGAGATGTGACCCAACCTGCTTTATTGAAATCTGTTGTCTCCGTTTCCAGAGCAACATTGATGTCCCTCCCAATGTTTCAAGAAAGCCACAAGAAAGGTGTGTTGTTTTTCCGCAGAGTCAGAGGGCAGCTGCATTCCCCACCCTGGAAGCGGGAATATCCCTAAGCGTGGTGTGCTGAGGATTCCTGAGCCTCTCACAGCATTGTTTCCTACATTCCCAATGGTGTTAGGGGTCCAATGCATCCCATTCCTACCACCTTATTCCCCCCACCACTCCTCCCAACAAAACTCTACTCCTACTTCTCCAGCCCACCACACAGTCCCAGCCCTGCAATCTGAATCTGGGAAAACATTAATATTAATAAGGTTAATATAATAATAATCTTACATTTGATATAATCCTGATCACGTCAAAACATTTTGACAGTACTTGCTGTGTGTTCAGTGTAGTCATTGCATATTTATAGCCAAATTGCAATAGGCAACGTCCCACAAACAGCCAAGAAGTTAATGGCCAATTCTTTTCTAGTAGTGCAATGGCTTGTTTGACATCCACAAGAACAGGAAACCAGAACTTTTAAGTACACTACAGCACTCCACCCAACACTGTATTGAGGTGTCAATCTGGATTGTATGATCAAAGGTTGTAATCACTCCCATCCAGTCATCTTCTGTGTCCAGTCTTTGGTTGTGTCTGTCTGGGGATTAAGGGCAGTTTGCCTGCGATTGAAAGCACCAATTTCCTTTCCTTTTTCAAGAGTATCATTGGATCTTTAACATCCATCTGAACAAGCTTCAGTTTAACATCTCATCTGAAGGACGGCACCTCTTGACAATGCAATCCCCCCACCCCCCCATCACTGCACTGCACTGGAGTGTCAGCCGTGAATATGAGCTCAAAGTTCTGACGTGGGGCTCGAGCCCACACTGTTCTGATCCAGATTTAAGCCACGTTGCCAACAGTAATCGACTGAGTCAGCAATTCAGTCACCGGTTTGGAAATTGCTGCGCACGTGTAGCTGAAACTGTCCACAGTCCTGGGCTGAGGATTCCAGATGTTTACTGTAAATCTTGCCGTTGATCCCTGGGTGTAACTCTCTGATTTAATGTCTCTGCTTTATCAGCCGCTGAACTAATCTCTAAATCCGAGCCATGAGCAAACGGAATGTTCCTGGCGGAAATAACCTGTATCCTGAGATTTCCCTCTGTGCCTGTCTATCAGCCAGTCTGTGCTCTGTGCCCGGCAAGAGTCGTCTCTGCTGGTGCTCGCTCACAACTGTTTGTGGGGCGCTGCTGTGCGCAATTCGCTGCCGCGTTTCCCCCACAGAATATAACGTCAGTTCACTTTACAGTATATTCTGCGAAGCGCTTTGAGACGTCGCGAAGACGTGATAAGGCGCTGTATTAAATACAAGGATTATTATTGTTGTTATTTTCCAATACCAGCACCAGTCCTGGGGTTTGATCTCTGACCCTAACAGCGCGTGGAGATCAAGCTCACAATCTCCCGTCCCAATTTGGTCACTGAACTTGTCTATGCCCATGTAACAGAGAGGATACTGAGCGAGGGATGGAGGCTCATCCAAGGTGGCTTCTGTGGCTCGTTAGCGCATACTGACAGAACAGTGGAACTCTTAAGAAAATCAGCTTCTAATTTCATCTTGCATTTCGGAAAACCTTTTTAGGGATTTCCCCACATCTTCACGGATATTTGTCTAAGCGCAGATTGATCCTGGTTCCCGTGTCTGGCTTCCACAGATGGCCATTTCGGGCCCAGTCTCCCAGTGCCGGACCGGCTCACCCTTTTGCTCGGGTTTATTGCGGCCTCTGGCTCCATCGTCATCTCACATTCCCGAAGGAAATCAAATCTGTGCCGGATCTGTGGGGAAACGGGCCCTGTGCTTGGCAGAGTTCCCTTCAGCTGCAGTTTGATAGATTGTGCTGGAGACGGGCTTTGTGATTCACTAGGCCTGAACGTGGAATTGAATTATTTTAGGGGCTGTCAGGCGACTTGGTGTTTACTGCGTTTGATTGAGTTTTGCTGAAAACAGCAAATATGCCTGTATTTATTTTTGCTTTGCGTAATTGACGGTGCCTCAGAGAATGCTCTGAAAAACAGTATGAAACGTTCTGCACTGTCCAACCCTCCCCCGGTGTTTAACCCAAGTGGCCATTTGACTACTCGCGCTGCTCTGGGCTGGGGAGCTTGTGTGTGCATTCACACTTGCCTGGGCTGGGAGTGGGCGTGTTTCAGTACTCCCAAGACGCTATCCTGCGTGTGGAACTCTGTTTAAATGCAAGTTGTTGCTTGTGGCCTCTCTCCTCACACACTAATGTATTGCAGGAGCAGATCCGGGAATTCTGTACGGGAGTGCCTGCGGCCGCCAGGGATACAGACGACCTAGTGCAGGATCAGACCTTGTACCACTCATTCGAGGATGAACCCCAGCCCCTCGACAGGTCAGTACGGTCGACACGCCCGGGTCTTCCACAGTATCCCGCAAACGCCACTCACCATTGCTCCCCCCACACCGACCATGTGTAGGTTCAACTCCCGAGACCCCTACCCCGCCAGGTTCCTTCCTTGCCCCCCCCCCCCCACCCTACCTGCAATCAGCCCCACTCTCACAGTATAGATGAAGAAAGCCCTTCGGTCCACCCAGTCTCATCCCTCCAGAACGCCCACCCGACCGTGTACCGCCCCCCCCCCCCCACATCACTGCATCAAGCTGCTTTTTCAATTAATCCACTGTCTGGCTTTCACCGCCTGATCTTTCTCCTTGGGCTCGCAGATGTTCACTCACCTCACCTTACGCTGACCCTGGGGTCGAACAGGCCTCGCCCTACGCAGAACCTTCCACCAGTCCCTTTGTACTCCCCGCGAGGCCCGCGGAGCACAGCCGCCTGCCCTCCCACTCGGAGGGGAATGGCGGCAACGAGAGACGCGGTTCCTTCAGGGGACAGAGGTCGAGCAGCCTGGACCATTCCAGCAACGAGTACGAGTCGCTGGAGGACACGGACAGCTCCCAGTCGGCTGGCGTGGGAGCCCCAATCGAACACAAGCCCGAATTCTCCTTCCTGGAGGTAAGCAGGGGAGAGGTATTCCCTGTGTGTGTGTGTGTGCGCGCGCGTGTTGTGTTTTTGTGTGTGCGTGTGTGTGTGTGTGTGGTGGGGTGCGTGTGTGTGGTGGGGTGCGTGTGTGTGGTGGGGTGCGTGTGTGTGGTGGGGTGCGTGTGTGTGGTGGGGTGCGTGTGTGTGGTGGGGTGCGTGTGTGTGTGTGTGTGTCGAGACCTCTCTCTCTGGTCACTCTGCATCTAATCTGTGTTGGTACCTGACCGTGTTGGGGAGAGGGCGAGGGAGCTTTGCTCTGCGTCTAATCCGGGCTCTACTTGATCAATCCCGCCCATTCCTTGTTAGTGACGTAATTAAGGGGCATCTGTAATCCCTTCTATACCCACGATTTGCACCAAGCGCGAAACAGACCCTAACGTATTGCGTCAGCCTCCAGCCAGATAGCTCATGCTGAGATGGTCTGCATCCGTGCAGAGGCTGTGGGTGGTCAGGGAAGAATTGGGAGAGGGTAAAAGGTATAGTATGGAGCCTGGCCTAACCCGCCCGTCCCTTCTCCACAGCACGTGGCGGTCCTGGACAACGTGGCCCAGAAATCGCGGATACAACTCGGCAAGAAGAGCATACGTCGCCCGCCAGGGGCTAGAACCTCAAGGCGACAACGACTGATCTCAGGGGACGCCCAGATGTCCCCCGACCAAAACAACGGCGACTGGATGTACAAGGATTCCACGGGTAAGTGTAGCCATGCCCCCTCGCCCCTCAATTGGTGAGGCCGAGGTCCCAGGGTGGGGTAGGGTGGTATGGATGTGCCAAACTCGGGCGTTGTCAGAGGGCAGCGTTCTCTGGTAGATGCGGTGGTCTGTGAGCTGGTTGTTCATTGTGTGGTGGTGGGCGGTGGGATTGCACACACGCAAGGATTGGGTGGCACCGGGGAGGGGGGAGGCGACAGCTTCTAACCCAAAGCTGCTCATTGCCAGCCCGGCCTGGCACAATTCCTCGTCCTTGTCAAACTCCCACTGACTCCGTCCGCTCAGCGCATCGACTTCTAGATCCTTATTCTCATCTTCAAACCCACCTCCATGTCCTTCCCTCATCCTATCTCCGCGCACCTCCTGCGCTCTCCCCCTCTGGAACCTTCTCGCTTCCTCCCACACCACACCACCTCCTAACCCCCTCTGCTCCAGTGCCCCACACCATCTCCTTGAGATGTCCAGTGGGAAATGCTGAGGTTCTTGCTGAAGGTGCTCCCCTGTGGAAGCTGCAGTGAGTCAGGCCGATGGCCGATCTCCCCATGTTCGTGTGCTTTTCCCCATCAGAGCCCCAGCTGGTCAGACAGGAGGAATCGGAAGAGGAAGAAATACGGCCTCGGCCAATCCCAGTCATGCAGTCTCCGAGAGTCCCGATGTTCCCAGGAATGGACCCCTCAGCACTAAAGGTAACAAAACACTGCTTTAGGTGTTTATTGTGGTCGCTTTACAGGAGTGCTCGACTGTTCCAACTGTCTGCCATCCAGGATCCTGCTTGCATTGCGGATAAACGTGCGGGGCTGAGAAAATGATGCAAACCCCCCCCCCCCCCCGCACAGTGGTTTGGTGCACAAACCACTCATACGCGCTCACTCTCTCTCTCACACACACACACACACATACATGTTTTTTTTAAATGCTGCTCTTTGACCCTCTCTGTATCTCTTTCTCTCTCTTGTCATTGTATTTAGTTAGATATTTGGATGAGCAAGAGAGAGTTACCAGGACAGGGCCCCAGGCCATGTCTTTTCCCTGGAGCCAGTGTGTATAGATAACGTCGTCCCCGGGTGGTCAGGTTATGTTAGAACATTTCGCCCACAAAATATGTAGTCAATTCACTTTATAGTGCATTCTGTGAAGCGCTTTGAGACGTCTCAAAGGTGTGATAAAGTGCTATATCAAATGCAAGGATTATTATGTTATTATAAATCTTCCCCAAAGGAGGATCACAGCCACATCCTGTACTTGCTTGTGACTAGGATACTAGGAATTGTATAATAATAACCCTTGCATTTCATAGAGCGCCTTATCACGTGTGACCTTAGCGAACGATGGATGCCTGGGGCTCTTCACTGTTCTCCAGAAAGATACCGTCTCAGAAAGACCGCTGGGGTTTAAAACCAAATGGCTTGCGAGCTCCGAGCGCTGCCTGGCACGCTTCCCGCTGCTTGTCCAGTCAGGAACATGAACTAGTACCTGGGTCATGTAGGTGGGCAGCAGTTGTCCTCACGACCACGTTAACCGACGTTCAGCCTCATTTACGATGTCACCTCCAGGCGTTGAGAGGTGGTCGTGTGGAGAGCCTCAGACTGTGGGGCAGTGCCCAGCATCGCGTGGAGCGACGCTGCCACCTGATGGTTATTTGTGGAAATGCAGACAAGAGGCTGGAAGGGATAAGTTGACGAAGCAGCTGCTAATAAAAAAAAACCTAAAGATAGTAAACGGAAGAAATGCTGTTGCACAATCCGTTAAGTGACTTGCTTATATTATTGTGAGGATAGCAAGATATATTGTTTGGCCCAAGTGACTGATGCAATAACAGAGGGCTCCGGACGGATGAGCAAATGGGGGAAAAGTATGTAACTCAGTGTGAGGCAATGCAGATGTGGACAGGGACATAAATTGTGTGCGTGTGTGTGTGTGTGTGTGTGTGTGTGAAGAAGAATTGCCATTACGAGCACTGTCTGGCTCGCTTCCTGCTGCTTGTCTAGGAGGAAAACCGGGGATAAGGTGGAGATTTGAGTTGTTTAGTGACCATCGCAGTCTGTAAGAACATTCAGCAGAACCTCGGAGATACCAAGCGCCTTGGCTACAACTACACGGTTTACATTAATGTCGAAGCGGCTGCCCCATCACCCTCTTTAACTCCTGCTGTTCTCCTCTCCCCTGCCCAGGCCCGCCTACGGCGAAGCCGTCCCAAGGAGGAAGAAACCATGGAAACGAGTACTGTGCAGCAATCCCGGTCTCTCCACGGGCCGGCGGGTGTCAGGGTCCTGCCTCCTCCACCCGGCAAAGACGAGGGGTAAGCACTTTGACTGCGCCTTCAGTCACCCTCCTGCCCTACCCTCCCCCAACCCTGATCCCAACTACCTTTGCTCGGGTCCAAATCCCTGACTGTCCAGCCGGCACCTTCTGACGTCCTCCCAATGTGAAAGGCGCTACACAAATGTAATTTGTTGTTGTTGTTGCTGCTGCTGCACACTCTGACTCACTTCAGTAGATTTGAGTGCTGAAACCTGTGCCATTTCCTCACATCTTTCAGGTCAGAAGAAGCTTCTCCTTCTTGGCTCAGGGAGCTGAAATCGAAGAAGAGATTTAGTCAGAACCAGCATTGCCCTCCTGACTGGGTAAGGCTGCATCTGTCACCTGGGCATATTGGTCCACGTTCAGTCTCTGGGTCACAGAGTAACATTTGCCCACAATAATATACAGTCTATTCATTTTACAGCGTATCCTGTGAAACTTTTTGAAACGTCTCGAAGACGTGATAAGGCACTATGTCAAATGCAAGGATTATTATTATCTATTATTATCTACACAGGTCTGCTGTTAATGTACAGCTATCAGGCTGACTGACGGCAGCTCACACTGTGAGGGCATGAGGGAGGGTCTTCAACACAGCTGGAAACCGTTTAATAAAAAAGACTGATTAGATAAATAAAAATTCTGCGAAGATAGATTTTGTTTGGTCACTCAATCCACTATTGTTTGTGGGGTGCTGCTGTTCAAAATTGGCTACTGCTTTTCGCCCACAAAACATTGTCAATGCACTTTATTCTGTGGGGCACTTTGAGATGTCTCGAAGATGTGATCAGGCGCTATATGAAATGCAAGGATTATTATTATATTGTGGGATACAGTGTATGGTTTGGGACATTACATGTGCATGTGACTGCCAGGATGGTGGAAGGCAAACTGGGTGGACCCTGGTCTAGCAATTCTTGTTGTTATGTCCTTATTGAATGGAAATAGTGTGGTGTGGGAGTGTCCCACTGGCTGTCCATGGGATGATAGATGGGGAAGGGGGGTAGTCATTAATATAATCTCCCCAGTACTTTTACATTTAGCTTTTCGTTTTATTTTCAGAACAATCAATGAATGAGACCCCGAGAGGAAACCCCAGCCTGATAGAAGCCTTAAATAGTCAACTGGAGTTTATCAAGAAAGTGATTTGTGTCCCCATCCCACATGCTGCTGCTTCCTCCCTCGCTGCCTGCATGTACCTCCCCTTTGTCCTCTGTGAATAGGCTGCTTCACGTACAGCGAAACCCAACGCTCCAGGTTTGTGAGATCCGACCCCGTGGGGAAACGTCCCTGCCAACCAAACCAGCGAGACATCTAAACCTGCGATGGATAGAGCCCGTCTCTTTGGTACACTTCAGTTGTGTTTGCGGGACAGAATGTGACCTGGGGGGGTGGGCGGGTGGAGGAGGTCTGGTGTCTCTCGTTCGTCACTCGTCTGCTACAACCTCCGACTGTTCACCCAACGAGTTTACCGGAGTGGAAAGAACGAGTGGAAATCGGCTCATCGGTCACAGAACTCGCTGCCCCGTCCAACACAGACTCCCGTTTTGCCTGTTGCTTTAGGAGATGGAGGAGTTGTATCAGACTTAGGCTGTCATTACACAAAGGGCTTTTTAAAAAAAAACGATTCTTCATTTAAACCTGAGGTCTTTTGTTCGTAATACAATAATGTAGTGCACTCCAGAGAAGGGAGAGGGAGGGTGGGTGGCCGTTGTTGGCTGCTGTGCGTAATGTGCCGGGTCTTGTCAAGAGGGCGAGGGCTGTTGTTTGTATGTCTAAAGCCACAGATCACCTCGTGCCAACTGCCTCCTGTTAGTTAGCCTGGCATCGGTGCCTAGAGCTATTCTTCTCTTTCTGTAAAAATCAGACCTAGAGCTCTGCTTTCCGTTTTATAGAACGTAAAACAACAATAGAACAAAACCTTCTCCTGACGTGAGAGAGAACATGTAACGCTGTCATGTGGTGTGCAGCATGTTGAACGATTTTTATGAAACGCTTGTACAAACTGGCAAAGAAATTGTTTTTTTTGTACTACTGATGCACATAGGAAGTGTTTGGAGGTTCCTGAATGTCAGCCAGCCTTCCCGATTTAAAAAAAATAACAGATTTTTATGTATTTTGTTTTCCCTTTCCACGCAGGAAGAAAAGCAATAACCTCATGAGACCTTTAGTAACAACCTCTTGCAAAAGGACTCTAAATATTTGTCATGTCATCTTTTGATTTGCCTCTTGTAAAATAAGCAGGACAGAAAGGCTGACGTGGAAACTGACTTGGCTCAATACCCGATTGGAACTGGTGTCTCCCAGGAAGGGATAGGGAATGGGCCAAACAGCAGTAAACGTTAGCTTCCAGCAGCCCACGTTACCAAGGTCTTCGCTGCTGGGAGAATAGAGCACACCATGAGTGAATGTATGGAAGGGCTAGAACCACTGTATAATGGGGCTATGAAAGTATTCACAGCTGATTGGTGTGCAGCTGTGTTCATCTTCAGTAAAGAATCCACAAGCCTGGCCTGGAGCTAAGGGTTAGGAACTGAAAAGCAGATGTCACTGGGTGCAATCCTGGTGTCATTCTTTGTCTGTTTGTCTCTTTCTCTCTCGTTCATCCAATTCACTTGGAGTTGTGACAAGGGGTTGGCTTTTTGGGGTACTGTATTAATTGCATGCACATTGATTCATTTTGCTTCACCTGCTGTATGTGGGGGGGGAGGCAGTTGAGGAGGGATTAATGGCACCACAAAATAAATGAGGGGTGGGAGGGGAGGTGAACCTTGCATTTCTTTGGGGGAGAGGTCAAGATAAGTTGCCATTGGTGTTTGCAATCCAAGAAGTGCTGAACCTGGGGTACAATTCCAGTCACCCACTGCCTTATCTGGTTATGAGCTGCCATAGATCTTGTGCCATGTTAAAAAGCGTGTTTACATACCCACTTCCCTTTAAAAGGGAGTGTTGGTTACTCCTGTGATGTAACGAGGACTGGGTTTGGATTCTGTTTCCTGGTGTTCCGACAATGCACTGAATATGAGATTGTTTGGAAGCCCTCGCTACAAGGGTTTTGGAAGTTGTAAATGTTTATGGTGAAACATTCAGAATACAGCTGTACAGAGAGACCTTCTTCATGGGATTGTGGCCATAGACTACTGTAATTCCTGCCTTAGAATAATAACCTGGTCTGAAATTGGCTCCTTCGTGGTTGGCTATTCTCAATAGCAGAAAACAACTTGGACCAGTTCAGGTGATGTCCAATGGATAAACTGGAAAGGGGGTTCAGGTGGAAAACATATCAATCCAACAGCAGCCTGATTGGAAAGATAAGGCACTGTAATGCTACCTTTACCCTGATATTTGATATTCGCCCCCAAAATACACAGTCGATTCACTTTACAGTATACTCTGTAGTGCTTTGAGACGTATCAAAGACGTGATGGGGGCCCTATATCAAATGCAAGGATTATTATTATTCCGGCCCAGTGGCTGCTTGGTTAGCACTGTATTCAGTTTTACGATTGAACAGCTCAAGCTCCTCCAAGAGGCAGTGCCTTTAGACAGAGCGGTCAAAATGGTTTACTGCATCCTGGGAATCCTTTTGATTTCCTACCACGATGCACTGTGCCAACTGAGCATTCTCAGATCATTGACCCATAACATTGTCAGGAGTGGAAACGATGAGAACCGTAGAACGCACATGTATGTCTCCATTGCCAGTGTCTGGTGAACACTTTCGAGTGTGTTTTAATCGTTAGGGGCACACTTTGTTCAGGAGGGGGTGCTGTAAAGCCCTCCAATGGACTAGCTAAGTTTGGGCAATGGTCTCTCTATTCTGAATGTAATTTTGTCAGATGATTGTAAGAGTCTGGTATTTTATATTTTAAAAGTGCTATGATGGTGAGTGCAAGCTGTGTAATCTCAAATTTTCCTTTTGTTTTGTATTTTAGGTTTACAGCCTGATCAAAGTCTATTTGTGTATAAATCATTCCTTTGTCATGTTTATTGAATAATCGGGTGTGGAATTTCTCTCCTCTCACCAAAGATTGGTTCCTGCTTGCACTGCACTCCTCAGTGTACGCCACCCTCCTCCAAGTCTACTTTCTTAACAAAAAACATGAGTCATTTAGTGTCCTTCAGGTGGCGTATAGTCTCGGAGCGCTTAATAGTGGCGGAGATTGATACCAAGCCAGGGGGAGGTGACCATAAGCACGGTCAAAGAGGCATGATCTGGAAAATGGGGAAAAGGGGGCCAAGGCAGATGGATTTAGGAAGAGAGTTTAAAAGTTTCGGGGTGTAGTGGCTGAAAGCACAGGTTGCCGACAGTGGAGCGGAGCAGCAAACCCATTTATATTGCACCGTTTTATACACCTCACGAGGCACAAGGTATTCTACTCGAGTGGCACTTTTTCTGAGTCACTTGTCAATGAGTAATGTTCTGTTCCACACTGACTGCATTGGCCGTGGTGCAAACGTTTCTCGTAGTAAGGGTGAGTTATCGTCGCAAGAATATGGGCGTTTGTATGAATTAATTTTGTGCGCTCGGGAGAAAATGTCAAACCATTGATTGCGAACATCTCATGGGAGAACATCTCTGCCTCTTGACCTCCACTCCATTCACACTGTCATTGGTGTTGGGGGAGTTATGGAACACTTTGCCGAGCACGGATGGGGACAGTATTTATGTTTTCTTTACACATTTTAGTTTTTCAAATAGAAGGATAAGTACAGTGTACTCTGGGGAGAGAGGACAGTCTGGAAGAATTATTAAGGGAGCTGAGCACCTCCGCACTCGGAATAAATTGTATTCCTAATTTGATCATTTATCTAAGATTGAACAGAAACAACACATGGCTCCTTGCACTAACTGGGGCATAAATCTCCCAGCTCCAACCCTGCCGCCAAATCATTGCTCCGGTTACTCCCCATGGGGGCTCAGAAGGAGGTTCTGGTAAAGTGCTAATGGGTTCATGCATTTTACTTTTGAAATTGTTTCAATGAGGAACTTATTGCTGGGAACAGCAAAAAAGAACCGCCACAGGAACTGTGTGATATCTGAAAACTGAGGCCGTGACCACACAGCCACCGTCTGATGGTGGTGAGAGAGTGCTACGTGGCTATGTTCGCACCACATGGAGTTTTCACTGGGTAACTGGCGGTTTCTCGGTTGTGGCTCTGAGATCTTCCAGCATCTCCCTAGAAATACTGAATTGAGCAGGTCCACAAAAGAAAACTCAACCAACTCAAGGCACGTGAATGGGAGCAGCAACTCCAACTGGTGGACTTTTCCAGGGGTAATAATCCCTTCAAAAAAAAAATAATAATTTGGTCACTCAAACCACAACTGTTTGTGGCACACCGCTGTGCGCAATTGCCTGCCGCGTTTCGCTCGCAAAATATACAATCAATTCAGTATAGTGATTTGAGACATCTCGAAGAAGTGGTAAGGCTTTATATTGAATGCAAAGATTATTAATATAACCTTTTGCAGACCAAGATCTGTGTTGTTAACACTACAAGACGGAGGGGAGCTGGTCTTATTAACATTCTCCGGGCCGTGTGAGGTGTTCACAGAGAATATTAACCCTCTCTCCCAGTCTTGAATTTCAATCACAATGTAGAAGGATTGGAGTGTCAGCGTTCATTGCAATAATAGTGACTAATATGCAGCGAAAGAAATCAACCCTTCATGTCAGGAGGCTGTGTCCAAGCACTTCATTGGATTTCCTATAAATTTAGGCGGCACACACACACACACACACGCAAACAAAAGTCACGAGAGTCTTACATTGACAAGTGCAGTAAAAGGTGGAAAACACAATTCAACATCTAACCGTGTAGGAATAAAAAGCCCATCCATCATATCTTCCACACAAGCTTTATCCCATCCGAGTCATATTCCATCCTTTCCTGCAATGGGTTCCACAAGCCCATCACGCCTGCGCTCACCGGGCTCCACTCACTCCCCGCTCCCCATTGCTCAACTTCAAGACCCTTGATCTAATTTTCAAATGCCTACACACCCTTCCTTGCCCCACCTTACCTCTATTATCTCCTGCACTCTCCGAAACATTGGGCCACTTTCCTTACTCCACACGTCTGTGTTTACCTAACAGTCAGCAGGAACTTGGTTGTCAGTTGATTGGTGGATCGCTTTTCCGGGGGCAACAATCCCTTCAATATTTTTTTAAAAAAATAATAAATTTGGCCACTCAGTCCACAACTGTTTGTGGGACACTGCTGTATACAATTGGCTGCTGAGTTTCGCTGACCAAATATACAGTCAATTAACTTTCCATAATAATCTGTGAAGCGCTTCGAGACGTCTCGAAGGCGTGAGAAAGCGCTACATCAAATGCGAGGATTATTATTAATAATACTGTACCCCGAGCACTTCATTCAGATTCGGATAACCTTCTGGGAGAGTGTCTCCCTCTTCCCCTCGAGACTCTGCTTTTTGCAGCACTGTTTGCCCTCGGCTTTCAAAACCGCATGAAATCATTTCATTACATCATGTCCAGTTTTTAATGTCCTCTTGTTATCATTTCTGAGAGCGTTAAGCCTTTAATATCCTCATTAAAGGCTCTGACAGTGAATTGTTAGCCAAGTGGACGGGACGAGAGTTGGATCCAAATAAAAAGTGTTGACCCTTGCAGTTCGGGGGATGCTTTGCCTGGCAGGGCTGTGGTGTTGCTGTTCCAATCTGCTGAGCAGGGCTGGTATTTTAATCTGTTTCCAAACAGCAGGCAGGATGGTGGGGGGGGGGCGGTGAGAGTTTGGGAAATCTGGGGGTTGAAGTGTCAGGACCATGTGCTCGGTCTGTGCCACTGAGAATCCGATAGGATGATCGGCCGATTTTTTGCTGTGTTGACTGATGGGGAGATCAGAGCAAATCCTCGGCTCTTTTTCTCCCAGATGGATGGATGAGCCCATAAATAGGGCATCAGGTGTGGACAGAGCAGCGGCCAGAGACTCGACTCACACCCAACCCAACTCAACTCATCTCAACTCCATCATCATCAACAGGAGCAAAGGAGCAAAAGTACGCCAGAAAGGTACCTGTTCTCCTCTCTCCTCTCCTCTCCTCCCTGCCGGAGCCCCGCCACAAGTATCTGTGATACTTGAGCAACTTGTGGATCAAAAATTTCATTTCTCAGTTATTTAAAGTGGACCCATTCCCCCCCCCCACCGCCCACCCCCACCCCACAACCACACTCAATGTTTGCATTCATTGCTTAATGCATAACGAGTACATTTGGGGATTTACCTTTTTTTCCCGCCCCCCCCCCCCCCCAGTGATTTATTTTGGAATGTATTTTAAAACCAACACTTAGAAACGTTGATTTAAAGATTTTAGTTCCCTTATTTCTCTCTCGCTCTCTGTGAGATCAGTTCTCTGCTCTCCTGTGAAGCTATCAGAGCCTCCAAAACCCAGGAGCTAGCGACAAAACCAGCTAAACTATTCATATTCGGAATACTTCACCACTTTCTGTGTTAGTAGCCACTATTTTTCCTTGCAGCGGCAGTTGTTTCCTGTTTGTGTTTTCGGTTTAAATATCTGTTGAATCATAAGAACCTGCAGATCTCTTTCTCTCTCTCTCTCTCTGCCTCTCTCTTGTCTCCCCAGACTTGTTTAGATAGTTAATGCTTATGGCTGGGTTCAGGTTGGATTCCTCCCAATAATGGTTGGGGAACTCAGTCCTCATTCTGTGCGCCTCCTGGAGGCTGGTTGCAGATTTGCAGTGACCCCCCCCACCCCCACCCCAGTCCCCAGCCCTGGCTCATTCCGCCCCCCCACCCACCCCCACGTTTTGTGTCCTAGGTTAAAGGATGGCAGAGCAGCAGGCGGCACCTGAGCAGATGGACGCAGGCAAAGCGCTGGCCACAGCCACAGCCAAAGCCGGGGCCAACTACAAGGTACAAGTGGCGACATCACATCGAGACATTTGCTTAACACCTGGCTCACGATTATTACATGTGTTACGTGTGCGTGTGTGTGTGTCTGTGTGGGGGAGGGTGTTTAAGGAATGTTTTCTGTATGTTTGTGTGTGGAGGTGGGGGCGAGCTGTTTCAGGAATGGTGTCTGTGTGTGACGATCTCTGGGCGGTGTTATGAGTTTGGGTTATTAAGCGTTTCAGTGGACATTACGCTTGTTAAACGTGTTCTAGCGCAATCCCGTGAGTTGATCTTTGTTCGTTATTTACTGCCTTGTACAAATGGGGTAGCAAATTCTGTTCCCCACAGGTGAGTGAGCCTGCGTTGACCTGGTTGCTATCAGTTGTGGTAGTAACCGCTCAGAATTGAACAGTGAGTTATTTAGTTACCTAGGAACACAAGAATATAGATGATCTACCAGCGCAGTCCATCTCGTTCATCCCGATTTACTGTTGAAATTTTCCCTTCCATTTTTCTCCCTTGATCGTTTTCTCCTGAAATGGTGAAGCCGGGCTGGGGTGTAGTAAGAGACAGCAGCAAGACCTCAGGCTTGGGCATTTGTGTGAACACGCGTAGTCAGCGGCTTCTGCAAAAGGAACCATCATAGGCGCCCCTAGTCTTGGGTTGATGTCCACCATGGAAAATGTTCAGGAGTTCAGGCAAACACTGGCTGATGTGGCCCCTCCCTAGTCTGCAGACACTATACCAATTTCAGAGACTCTACTCTTACCACAGTGGATATCAGCTAAGTCAACACGGGCCAGTGATGGAACCTGGTCTCACCTGTGGGGCACAGAATTTGCTCACATTAAGGCTCCCAGTTATGGCTGAAGTGCTTCGGTGACACAATGTCAAATGTAAGTCCTGAGCGTTCAGTAACATATTCTATTATGTTTTAAAGCTCACAATCTATGAGCTCGAGAATTTCCAAGGTCGCAAGGTTGAGTTTACTGGGGAATGCTTGAACCTGGGAGAAAAAGGATTTGAGAAAGTGGGATCGATCCAAGTGGAAAACGGACCGTAAGTATATATTGAGAGAATGTTTGAAAATGTCAGTGAAGCAAAGAGACAGGGTGAGGGGCTAAATAAGGGGGGGGGGAAATGGGTCCGTTCACTGCTGTGCACACTTGGCTGCCGCGTTTCGCCCACAAAATATACAGTATATTCTGTGAAGCACTTTGAGACACCTCGAAGACATGATAAGGCGCTGTATCGATTATTATTATTCTGCCTAACAGATCACCATATTTCTTCAATGTACAGACAGGCATCTACACCTCCCTCCTAGCTTAATAATATTAATAATAATCCTTGCATTTGATGTAGCGCCTTATCAGGTCTTCAGTGCCAACACCTCAACCAAATCTGCCTACTTTATTTGAAAAGAAATGTATACTATATTTGTGTTATAATTAAATTTACATTCATTATTTTTAAAAGAAATTTCGCCCAATATTTTGCAGATGGGTGGGTTTCGACCGTCAGGGCTTCAATGGTGAGCAGTTTGTGTTTGAGAAAGGCGAGTATCCTCGCTGGGACTCGTGGTCCAACAGTCACTCCAGCGAGAATCTGGTCTCCCTCCGTCCTGTCCGGGTCGTAAGTACCTCTCCGCTCGGTGTGAAGTGTGTTTGCTTGTTGAAGATTTTTTTTTTAACCCCACGCTCTCCAACTGAGAGGGAGGTGGTGTCTGTTGGAAGCAGCCCTGAGGTGCAGCTGCTTCTGCTTGGTGTCAGCCTGGCTCAGTTGGTAGCACCCTTGCCTCAGAGAGTCAGAAGTTTGTGGGTTCAAGCTCCAAGTTGGGACTTTGAGCTCATAGTCTAGGCTGGCACTCCAGCGCAGTGCTAGGGGTGCACAAGTATTGTCAGAGGTGCTGTTGTTCCAGACATTAATTCGAGGTCTTACCGTACCCATGACCAACAATCCTCCAGATGAATTTGTCATTGAACAAATCATTTGTGGCTCGCCCAGCACACTTCGGCAGCGTTCGCCGATTTAAAAAAAAAAATTTCTATAGGTGATTGCAATTACTGAAGTGCTTCGAGCAGTTTAATCTGGTTTAATTTAGTCTAATAAGTACAAGTTCTTTCTTATTGCAGGATGGCAGTGAGCACAAGATCAGCCTCTTTGAGAACTCCGGCTTTAACGGGAGGAAGATGGAGATCATTGATGATGATGTGCCCAGCCTGTGGGCCCATGGATTCCAGGACAGAGTAGCCAGTATCAAAGCCATCAATGGAACGTAAGAACCCAGCATAGTCTCATGCGTTTTACCGTAGGATCTTAAAGACCAGAACGTAACCCACTTTAATAGGCATTCCTGATGCCTCTCAACGTAACACTCACTGATGTATCCAAATCCCTTATTGTAGCACTCTCTCACCCACATCCCTGAAGACCGAAAAAGCAGGATAGTCGCTTCAGCGAGATGTCACTGAAACAGCATGTTTCTCTTTGCTGGAAATAACTTGCATTTTTGTAGCACCTTCTACGTTGACAACATCTCAAAGTACTTTTATAGTATTGTACTGGAAGGCCAGGGCCTGCATTCATCAGGATGTTGCACACAACCTACCACCGTACGTCCTGTAGTGTACTGGTTAGAACGATCGCCTCGCAAGCGAGAGGACCTGGGTTCGATTCCCAGGCAGGGCAAAACCTTAAGCAAGTTGCCTTACTCCGCACACCTTTGTTTACCTAGCAGTAAGTAGGAACCCGGTTGTTAGTCGATTGGCGGATCGCTTTTCTGGGAGTAATAATCCCTTCAAATAATAATAATAATTTGGTCACTCAATCCGTGGCTGTTTGTGGGACACTGCTGTGCACAATTGGCTGCCGCATTTCACCCACAAAATATATACAGTCAATTCACTTTACGGTATATTCTGTGAAGCGCTTTGAGACGTATCAAAGACGTATCCCAGAGGTGAAGGAACAGGAGTAGTTTCATAAGAAACTGCCTCCTCATCCCTAGAGAGAGGCTGCTTCCACATAATAATCAATAATAATCCTTGCATTTCGTACAGAGCAGGATGTAATCTCTTGCATATAGCCCCTGTGACGAACTGTTCCTGTTTCAAGCTTCTTTCTGGCTACCCGAGCGACCTGACTCATGGTTACTTTCTGTTGTCCCTGCAGGTGGGTAGGTTACCAATACCCCGGTTACAGAGGACACCAGTACATCTTTGAGAAAGGAGAGTACAAGCACTGGAATGAGTGGAGCGCCAGTCAGCCCCTGCTCCAGTCCATCCGCCGGGTCAGGGACATGCAATGGCACAAGCGAGGCTGTTACCAAGTACCTGCAGCCAGTAGCTGAAGGAGACACGAGGAACACTCGAGGCAAGAGGTCACCAGCAGGAAGTACACAAAGAAAAGGCGGATGAAGTAGAGCAGACACCGGCCACGGGAACTTGCCGCCTTTCCCCTCTGTCCTGTGACGATAAGAGCAAGAGTCCGCCAATAAAATAGTGACTGATGGGAGCCCAGTGTGTCGGCACATTTTTCTGTGTTTCTTCCTTTTCTAGCACGTATTTAAAACATTTGCGCAAGGCACATCTGCTGTCTCTGTTCCAAGGTCCTGAGGGTTTGTATTAGACTCACGCGGGGTGCTTTGCACTCGCTCTGTGCAATACAATGATAAAAGCTCCTGAGCTCAAAGGGTTAACTCACTGTTCCTATCCTGAAATCAATTGAGTCTCAGGCATGGGAATAAAGTCTGCGGGTGATCAGGTAATCAGGAGATCCTGCTCACTGTGCGACCAACTGCTCAGAGTTTTGTGAGTAGCCTGCACCCCATAATGACACATCCCAGGGAAACTGATGGTCTGTTCATGACATTGCAGCTTTAACTGGTCTGAAAAGCATGTGATTGGGGTGAGTAAACACTGTGAGCTTTGGGAGATCATTGTGTGGTGATAAAACAACACATTCCCTTTCAGAATTAGCTCCAGCTCCACCAAACCGATTCCCATTTATGACCAGCCACTGGTGACAATCCTGAATAAGAGCGACACAAAGTGTGTTTCAAAAATTCTTAACTTAACTTCTCAATTGACTGGAACGTTTTCTCTTTAGTGTCAACAGGAAATCTAACGCTGAGGTTTAGTGTTATCACTGACACACACTGACCTACAGAGAGCCCACTCAAACAAAAATAGACTGACACGTCCTCAGTTAACGGCATGGTCGATGTGGATGTTTAAAAAAAAACACGAAACTCAGAGTAATTAATATGTGGAACAGACTCCCGTTAACTCTGCATTGATTAACTCGTTTTTTTAAAAGAAAAACGGGTTAAATAAGTACACACACGTGCACACGGACACTCACACGCGCACACGCACACATGCACACAGACGCTCACAGCCACACGCATACACAGTCACACACATACACAGTCACACACACGCCAGTTGCAGTATTGGCAGTAAGCCAGGGCGTCTCTCCATCACTGATGGGCACCTTGTCTCTGGGAAGGAAAATGACTAAGGATTTTACTTTCTAACTGAATAGATTTTCCAGACTCCTGACCATATATGCAGTAATATATGGAGTCAATTGCAGATATGTGGCAGTGAATTAAATGCTGGAAGTAGATTTGGGGGGTTTATTCCAAAGTGGTACTGATTCTTAAGAGGCATCATCCTTTGAAATTATTAAATTATGCCACAAAGTGGGGCTAAGGGATTGGAAGATTTCTTCCTCCACAGCACAGTGGTTGTGTGGAACAGACGCCCAGCTAAATGAGCTAATGCTGCATCAATGAACTGCTTCACGAGAGACTGGATAACAATGTGGTTGGGAACGATGATATAGGACACAGGGTGGGTCCGGACCGGGATGAATAAATACACTGTGGGACACTATGGTTTCTGTGCTGCGGAGGCTGGAGAACAGGGTGGGATGTTGTGCGCGGGTAAATGCTGGAAAGAAATGTCGCGATGGATGAATCTTCTGGAGATTTTTCTCGATTAATTTGAGATCAGGGCAACTTTGTCCGGAGTGACCAATTTTAGTTGGGGGATTGTTTAATGAGTTCTGGCGGAGGGGTAGATAGTCATTTCAGCAATGCAGAGCTCGCAGGTTGTGTCTGAGCTTAAATAAACCCATGGCCCACCAGGTCTTATGGCCATTATTATAATCGAACTTTGAGCTTTAAACTTAGAATGTTGCCCGAGCCAATATATTATAGGTATAAAGTGCTATTTGCCGAGCTTGATATTAAAGACTGCAACAGTACCAGAGAGCAGGTTAGATATTGGACAAATGCTATTGTTTTACAGTCAAAATTATCAGCTGGCAGCACAACGTACATGTGCACTTTAATAATAATAATAATAATCCTTGCATTTGATATAGCGCCTTATCATGTCTTCTAGACGCCTAAAGCGCTTCACAGAATATACTGTGGAGTGAATTGACTGGATGTTTTGTGGGCGAAACTTTATACAATGACTTGCATCTATACAGGTTTTTGCGCAGCGAATTCGGAGAGTGAAGACTGCGTGAAGTGTAGGAGTCTAGTGCAGAGCCTGCCGGTTACATTGAATTTATTCTCTGTCCCTTCATTAAATAGATACAGCATACCTGGCATTTGGATAGTAAACCAGTAAACTCAACCGACCTACCACACGTCAATCACATTCCTCAACCTCTTCTCTCTTTAGATCTTGCTTCTTAAGTCCCTCTGCACTGTTTCATTCTTCCTATATTACATATTCCCGAAGCCTATTATCCTTTATGCTGTGCCTTGTCAACTTCCACCTGACGTCCTAATATTACTTCCTAACATTTTGATTTTTACCTTGTGTCCCCTCATTGTCTGAAGCCTTCAATTCATTAAATTATTTCCGCCAAAGTATCTGTGTCATTCCCTTCTTTGCAGCACAGGTTGCAGAGTTTTGGATGGTCTCCCGTCCCTGTCGATCGCAACATAAATGAAAAATGGAAGGAAGAGACAAAATAAAACTGAAAACGAAAACGAACATTAATAGAGATTTCTCCCTGGGTGAACTGTGCCTAGTAAAGGAATACACAACATGACTCAGTATGTCCTGTGCTCACTAATTACAAATACATCCAGTCTTTTTAGATTAGTTACCTGTCTGTGGTAACTCGAAAACATGGGTTGGATGAATTATGTAAATTAATCATTTTAACAACCGCTGACATGAGTCCACTTACTGATCATGGTGGAAATAAAACAGAGAGATAGTTGACCCAACAACCCACGTGGTAGAAATCCAAACCTTTTGATGAAAGACTGTTTTTTTTAAAGGCCGGATATCAATGGACATGCCACAAAAGTCACAATATCATGAGGAGAGAAACAGCCAAAAGGCCAATGAAGCACTTCCTCCATCAGTCTTCAATAGGGATGGGGACGAAAATAACAAATAAAACTAGCATTGAATGGTTCAAAGTAGGGAGGGTAATTTTGCTCATGGACAGAATAATAATCCTGCAATAATAATCCTTGTATTTGGTATAGAGCCTTATCATATAGGAAGGTCATCACTACGGATGTTGAAAGGCTGGCCGCCGATGGTAGGGCGGGTCGGGCGAGAAGCTGGAGCCTCCTCAATGGAGGGAGTGGACAGCCCAATGTGGGGGTTTAGCAGGTCAGAGTGGTAGGAGGTCGACCTCGCTTTGACTTCTCATCTGAAGGTCGGCATCTCTGGCAACACAGCACACCCCCAGCATTGCATTGGAGTGTCAGGTTAGACCGTGTGAGTTCAAGTCCCAACGTGGGATTTGAACCCAGAACCTTCTGACTCAAGGGGCAAGAGGGCTACCACTAAGCCAAGCTGACACGCAGAAAATGGGGGTAGGGGAAAGGAAAGTCTGAAAGTGCAAGGTTTCCCAATGCTGATCACATCCTGCCTAAAGTTAATTGGAGGGCAAATTTGATCCCATAGCCTTAGATACTCAGATACAGTCCTGTAGTTTTCAAGGTTCTAGATTCACTGGTTACCTTTCAAGAGTCATAAAAATCACTGAATTCCTCATTGAATCCACTATGGAAATCCCCAGCTAATCTGGGCCTTTAAGTAAGATTTTCCCTCTAATATTGATCTTAAATCAAAAATGGTTTTGATCAATTTACAATCTATTCTATTAAACGCTGCGGTTAATGTTCGGGGAACGCAAAAGTGTTGGTGATTGTTAATAAAATAACCCAAAGTGAGGAACTGTGACATACTGAGAAATTTATTGGTAACATCATCCCACACAATGAGAACAAGTTACATTTGTGAAGCGTCTTTTATGTCAGGAAGACGTCCCAAAACGCTGATCATCAAGGGAGGATTCTCTACGGCGCGTTCTTTCCATGTGTTGAATTGGTTTCTTACTCTCTTTTCCAGTTTGTTCCTGAGCTATGGCGAAGTTCTGGCTTGTGACAGGAATAGGACGTTGGCTCGGAAACCACTGGAGTAGGGCTGATGTGTGCATTGTGAGCAGGGTCATGTTCCTAGCTCCTGGCACAGTGAGAGCTGATGCAGGCACTCTCCAAATCTCTGTTCTCTAAACCCAAACAATGCGGGCACCCGACGAATCTGAAAGCTAATGAAATAATTCAACCCGCCTTGTGTTCAGTAACACAATGCTCTCTGCGTGTCAGGGAAACCTGCGCTTTATTCAGCATTAATCCCGACCTATCACAATGTATCTGTCCACAAGTTTCGTTGTAACCCTTTAACAAATAATTTTTGGCTCGGTCCTGCTTCGGTTCAGTATAAATTCTCAGAGAGACCGACATTCTGTACTGACACGACTGGGTTCTGGTAAGAGCATTCACATCTGAAGCCATTCTATCTTAGCGATTTGCTCGTCATTTGTAAAATCACTAGAATTTAAATACCTTCTTTTAGCAATATCGTAGAGTGATTGTGTCTCTTCCGATGTCCCGTGCCTGTCATATATTGCATGTGTTTTCTAAGCTGCTCGAGCTATTTTTTTCTACTCTGCTGCAAGAACCAAATGCAGATCAGAACCGGTTGCTGGAGAGAATGAGGAGCTATCAGAGGTGAAGGGGAGATTTTCAGTTCAGCAGAGAGGGTAGAAGCAACTTCTTCACGAGAGCTGCAAAGGTTAAAGACGACTGATAGAGGTCTTCAGGATGTCTTATCAATGGTTATGATGGCGTGGACAGTAATAAGATTATTTCCACTGGTCGGCAGGACAGTAACGAGAGAGCAGACGTTTAAGATATTCGCAAAAAGAAGTATTAAAGGGGCTGCTGGAATGCATTTCTTTATAAAGAGGCTGATTGGAATATTCTGTGCCACAAACTACTGTTGAGGGTGCACAAATTATTTCAAAAGCAAGTTAGATCGATGTTTTAAAAAGAAGACAATTAGGTGGTTCATGTGGAGAAAAGCATTAGTGAAGGTTTGGGCTGAATGACCTGTTTCCGTGCTGTAACTTTCTATGATTTAATGGAACTATAACGACCGGGCATTTTAAGAATTGCAAAAGGCAGTGATGGAAACAAACTGCTGTATCGCTGTTGACAAGGAAGGAGATTACAGCTTATTGCCAAAAAAAAAGTTCTAGGGTATAAATTCAAAAAGTGAATGGATTGTGATGGATTCAACGCAATGAGAATTAATGGCGAATTTCCACATTAAAGAGAAACAGAATCTTACAGAGAATAGCGGATTCTCGAGAGCTGGAATTTAACCATGTGATTCGGTGATTTGTATATTGAATTAGTACAATACAATGCAATTCATATTTGATATATAACACTTTTCATGTCAGGAGGATGGACAGAAACGCCTCCTGACATTTATGATTAATAGCAGTGATTGCTCAAAGTGTTTAGATACTTGAGTTTTAAAGCCTTCCAGCATTTGTAGTGTGTTTTGAAGTCCACACCACTACTTGTGTGTGTTTATTGTACTTGGCATTTGGATGGGTTTTGATGGCTACAGTGGATGCCAATGTAAATGATCGCTACCAGCGTGACTGATGGATTAGAGACATTTCTATCGTTACTGAAGCGCTACCCAGAAATTATTGTCAGTTGGTTGCTAGGCAGTTCTGTAGCCAATATTATAACATTGCAGTTTTCCCTGAAATATTATAAAATGAAATATTAAAAAAAAAGGAACAGTTTTGGCTTAAATTCCATTAGAGCACACATTAAATGGTATGCATCTGTCCAGTTTGATCTCCCAATTAATGACTGACAACTGAATGGCAAGTACTTTTTCCTGAGACCCACTGTCAAATATTGATCAGTTATAACCAGTTGTTGTGTCTCGTTTACAGAAACACATACAACTTCAGCAATAATGGCATCTGAACAGACTCCAACCCCCAAACAACAGCCCAGCTCCACAGCTGCCCACAAGGTTGGTCTTCTGTGCTTTCTTTCTGCTCTCTTTCCACTTGTCCCATCATTTTTACACAGTAACCCATGTTGCTACTTCTCCGCTCTTCTGCTTGAACTGGAAGGGCCTTAGCTGTGTGTTACCCACATGCCTCATGAGAGCTCCACTGCTGTGAGATGTTCTTACACGCGGTCTATAATAATAATAATAATGATAATAATGCTTGCATTTGATATAGCACTTTATCACGTAGTTGAGACATCTCAAAGTGGATTAACTGTATATTTTGCAGGTTAAATTGTGCACAGCTGTGTCCCACAAACAGTCGGGGATTGAGTGATCAAATTATTACTTTTAATTTATTTGGGGAGGGATTATTACTCCACAGAAAGCAATCCGCTGATTGACTAACAACCGGGTTCCTACTTGTTAGTCTAGAGTTACTTTTGATCTCCCCCACCACCTCGGGCGTTAAATTCTTTACTGTTAGAATTACTGGCAGACAAGTTTTGTAGAATTCTCAGAATAAGGAGAAAATCAAACCCTCGAATTTTCCCTACTTATTCCCGTTTTGTTACCATTTTTCAGATTGTTCTGTTTGAGCAGGAGAATTTTCAGGGACGTTTCCATGAACTGAGCGGCCCCTGCCCTAACTTGAAAGAGGCCGGAATGGAGAAGATTGGGTCTCTGGTGGTGCACTGTGGACCGTGAGTACATTAAAACCGAACCAGATTCAAGACAACATTTACAGGTTATACTGTCAGATATAATAAGAGGATACAGGAGCAAGGGTGTGAAGGGCAATTTTAGGGTAGACAAAGTATTTCTTTACACACAAGGTAATCAATGGCAAAGAATGGGTTACCAAGTAAGATGTCAGGAACTAGGATGTAGGCACATTGGAACAGGTGTAGGTCATGCAACCCCTCCAGACTGTTCCGCCCTTCTATTAGATCATGGCTGATCCGGACCTCAACTCCCATTAAGGATGCTCAACTTATGTAAGAAACACCTTTATGGTGGAATGGAAGGCTAATCAGGTAGATATTGTGGAAAAATGAGAATCGAACGGGGCCAAGCTAGTGTGAAATGCAAATGTAAGAATGTAGTCAACTAGCATAAATAGGACTACAGGCAACTATATCATCACACATTCCTGATGGGCAATGACATTACACACTCTGATGATGGGGAAACCTTAATCTACCTTAGTCTAACAGTTATAGAACCCATGTCATTGAATAAGCAGGAGAACTTTGTTGTATGGTGCGTAATGCTATTTGTTGTCTGACTGAGAGCAATCTCTACAGATGGATTGGCTATGAGCAGGCAAGCTGCAAAGGCGAACAGTTTGTCTTTGAGAAAGGAGAATATCCCCGCTGGGATTCCTGGACAAACAGCCGCAGAAGTGACACCCTCGGCTCCCTCAAACCCGTGAAACTGGTACGTTGAGATTAATCATAGGATTAGAACATATGCAAACAGACCTGGTGTCCTTTATGGGTACCTACAATATGTCCAGGCGAAATACAATGATTACTGATTACTTACACAATGCAGAAGCTGAGAGTTAATTCATTTCCCACTTAGGCTCACAAATGTCTAATATTTCCAATATTGTCCTATCAGTATCCTATTTATCATAAGATATCTTTTTAAAAAATATTTAATCCAAAGGATGGCATCTCTAATAATGTAGTATCCCACCAGTACTACACTGGACTGTCACCTATATTAACTGAAATACTCTGTAAATAATAGTCTTACTTAGCTGGCTGGTGTTCATAAGAACAATTATTAATATTGTCTCCTAAAATAATTAAAGTCACTGTACAAACTCACTAATCATGTTGAGTATCTGCATGGAGTTGCTCTTCAGAAGTTATCTTAATGGTTTAAAATTATGTACTACAGTGTTTGAGTTCTGGAATTTCCAGCTTTTATACGTTGGTTAAATGACCAGAAAAGCTGATCAATAGCGCATTTAATTTTACAATTAGTTAACTACAGGTGAATTAATTGACATTGCTATCAAATGTGTTAGTTAAATTGCCATTCCAATGGATTGATAGACATAGAATGGCAACCAAACTGAATCTGCGCTGGAAATTATTTATCTTTTAGTGTTGTGACATTTATTCATTCCATTCTAATGTTTATCCTTCATGTTCTTGCATCAATAAGGACGGACATGAGCACAAGATTATCCTTTTTGAAAACCCCAACTTCACCGGAAAGAAAATTGAAATTATTGATGATGATGTGCCAAGTTTCCATGCACATGGCTACCAGGAGAAAGTCTCATCCATTCGTGTTCTGAATGGAACGTGAGTATTGGGAGCAGAAAAACTAAGCCTAATAACAGGACGCCACTCAACACTGGAAAGATTAAGTGGTCAGTCGTGTATATGGTTAATTGGATCACTCACGTCCTGCATCCCAGCTGATCTCTGCCTCATCAGAATTAACCCCACATTGAACATACTGATGTGAAGCACAAGGGTGGAAGGCCAACGTCCCGAGTCGACTTAGTGTTCAAGAATTTTGATGTCAGGGGTTTTAGATCGCATTAACTTTCTGCCAATTTTTCTTTTCCATTTCTTTCCCAAAGATGGGTAGTATCTCCTCATACCTGACTTCTATAGCCAAGAGGGTAAAAAGGTCCAACTGGCTGATTACTCGTGGCTAACAGCAATCGTCCTCTTTGGTTAACCTGCAAACCAATGCGGTGTGCTTTGGTCATATTGGCTCTTCTGCATCAGAACACATTAAGTTCAATATATAAGAGACATTGAAGCCTAGAGGAGAGATGTTGGAACTCCTTGGATGCGAAGGGGGAATATTCTTTAATGTCCCTCTGCTTTCAGTAACTCATGTAAATAATAAACCTGTGGAACAGGCTTCCCAGGGAGACAGTTGAAGGAGGAAATGTTGATTCCTTCAAACACAGATTAGATAGTTTTCATTTAGGAAATAACATTACGGGATATAGCATATAGGTAGTTCGGGATATATGTGCATGCAACAGCCAGGAAGGTGGAAGGTGAACAAGATGGACCTCGGTCTTTTTTTTGACTCGCATTTATAATAATAATAATAATCCTTGCATTTGATATAGCGCTTTTCACGTCTTCTTGACGTCTCAAAGTGCTTATTTCTTATGTTCTTATGTTTATTTCTTCCTTCCAGATGGGTTGGCTACCAGTATCCAGGTTACCGAGGTTACCAGTACCTGTTCGAGAAGGGAGAATACAAGGACAATACCGAATTTGGAGCCCAGCACCCTCAGATCCAGTCTGTCAGGCGTATTAGGGATATGCAGTGGCACCAGAGGGGGATCTTTCATCCTACCAACTGAAATCCATCTTTGCTCCAAAGCTTCTTGCATTAGTCTCTGACCAATTTGCTGCTAATTTCTCAAAAGCATGTTAAATGAATGCAACCCCTACAGTATTCTGTATGAATACAACTGCTGAGCCAATTCAATAAAGTCCCGCACTTCAAATTCACCCTCGATTCCATGCGTTTTTCTTTTTTGGTACATTAAGTGATGTCTTTTATTTTCACTAATCGAGAAGACCTCTCTTGCCATATGGCAATAGGGCCACTGTGTGTCACTGCAGACCAGTAATGAAGCACGATGAGGGTGAGCAAACCATTTTTTGCTACTGCGTTAGCTTTTTCTATTCGACAAATCCCCTCACCCTGACCATTTCCCCCCTGCTCGGGTCATGACCCAACTGTGCAGCGCCTTGGGACGTCCTCCTGACGTGAAAGGCGCTTTATAAATGGAATCTTGTTGTTGTTGTTGACTCTGTAGGAGGAAAAATAAATTCTCCTCATCCAGAGAAGGCTTTGAATAGCTGCCAGCATCAGCCACTGTTAATGCAAACTAGTTGTCTTTTTAGCCCACGATTATTAATCATTGTCTGTAATCCGTACCTGTGGTTTTTCAATTTTTACTGTACACATTTAATCTAAGCATTTAAGGCAATATTTAATTTGCTGCTCAATTTAATATAAGACCTTATCATTAAGATATTGACCATTTGCTATGGTCATTACTGACAGTGAACTGGAAACACTGGATACTTTATCATACTGCTTCTTATTAAGTGATCCTAGTGATAGGTCATGTATAGAATTCCAGTATAATGATAACAAGCCTTACATTTGATATAGTGCCTTTCACATCAGGATGTTTCAAAAGTGCTCCACTGGAATTACTGCAAAGAGGAATAAGTGTTGTAGTGACTCTGTATTTCGTAGGTGAATGTGGCAGCCAAATTGCGCAAGATTATCTCGCAAACAGATATGAAGTGAATGACCAATTTATAATAATAATAATCATTTAATTTGATATAGTGCCTTATCACGTTGATGAGCCTGGAGTAATAAAACTTGCCTAAAGTTTCGCCCTGTTCAGGAATTGAACCCAGGTCCTCTCGCTTGCAAGGTGAGTGCTCTACCCAATATGCTACAGGACTCCACACAAGATATAATTGCACAGCAACGTGCCTGCTCTCCCTCCCCTATTGAGCAACCTGGGCATATTTCTCAGAGTGTGGTCCCATCCAAAAATTGTCTCTGCAACATCACACTCCAATGAACCTCAGCCCAAAGAGTATAAAGACGTGGGCACCTTCCTCATTCAACAGCACGTTTAATGCCAATGATTTTCCCTGCAGATGCTTTGGCCCATCGAGGATGCTGTCGATACCTGCATTTGAGCTGGAGGCAGATTGTTGGCGTAAGAGATCATTTGGTTTTATGTCCTTGGTTCAGTTTAATAGTTTCCCCAAATGTCAAGCAGCTGCGTGGCATGTGACTCCTGTGTGTAAATTATCACTGTTTACTTACCAGCTTCAGGGTCCAATTCAGAGTTTACCAAATAAGTAACTTGCTTGGAGACACCCACACTTTGTGTGTTTACCATGTGGCCGATCAATAAAATACTTCTTAGAAACACATTGAAATGGAAACATGTTTGTTGTAGGACATCACGGCCTATTCATAGCCCAGGGCAGACGGGAAACAAAGCCCGCATTGAGCCATCTTTATCATCACTCTGGGTAAATGTGAATGAGCACAGGGACAAGCAATAATTGATGTGCCTGCTAGTGCAGTGGAAACAACAGCTGTTCTCTTCTCAGTGGAGTAGAGGTGTGTGTGGGGGTGGGTGGTTGATGGCTCACACCATTGTGGAGAAATGGTGGGTAGTGATGATTATATAATACTTGCATTTAATATAGCACCTTATCACGTCTTCGAGACATCTCAAAGCGCTTCATGGGATATACTGCCAAGTGAATTGACTGTAATATTTTGTGAGCGTACACTGTAAATGAACTGAAAGGGCAGTGTTTAAAGTGATTACATTTGCCCCCTCCGAAGCAGTGAGGTCTGTTGTGACGATGTGTTTTATGCAGTAGTTCACAAAAAAGTCATTGAAAGCTGCGAGTGGTTTCTGCACAGTGAAAATAATAAATGACTGGGTGATTGTGATAAATTCCTTGCTCTGACTCGGAGCGCACTGTAGCAAGAGTGTGTGTGTGTGTGTGTGTGTGGCTCGTGCCAGGCTCCAGTGTAAGATCCTGGTTGTCGTAAGAACCCATAAAGCTTCCAAATTAATCCGTTGTCATTTTTTACAGTTTGTTGACAATTTGTATTTTAAGCGGTTGCTACAGCTATAATTTGTGTTTAAACAGAAAAAGCATTAAATCCATCTGCGGTGCACGGCACAGCAAGGGGAATCGATTGTTATTGGCTAATGGACAGTTCCACAGTCTGGCATCCACAGGGAGTTCTCGAGGGGGGGAGGAGTTGGCCAAAGGTTTTCCCATTATAAATGTGTAACAGGATTGCTAGGGTCTGTGTGTGATACGCATAAAAGAAAGAATTTACATGTTTTTATTGACTAATAATGTCAACGTCTCAGAGCACATCATTGTCACGTACAATGATTGCTTTTGAAGGCAAATGCAGAAGCCATTTTTTCACAGAGCCAAGTCCCACAAATAGCCATGGGTCGAATGACTGATCAATTGGGAGGATTTTTGACCAGGACACTGGAAAAATTCCAATGTTCTGGGATGCTACCTTGGGTGAGGGGCACTATATTGTTGTTGTTGGAAAAATTCCCTTCTTGTTTCAAGCAGTACCAATGGGAACTGCTGACGAGAGTAAGAGAGAGTGAGTGTGGGGGTGGATGTGTGCAGCCTGCATGGGCCAGGAGACTGAGGAAGATGATGCCAAGAGTAGGAATGTAAGAACAGGAGGAAGCGATTTAGCCTGTTGAGCCTGCTCTACCATTTTATTAGATCATGGCAAAGTTTTTAATCAATTAATACCCTTGCTTCCCAGGTATCTATCCCCCTTTATAAACATCCCAATTAATTCTGCCTCTCCAGCCTTCTGGGCATGCACAATACTTGTACAAGGGAGTGGAATATTGTTGGAAAGGGGAGGGTGCACTGAGCACACCTTTCTCCTTCAGCCACTGCCCGATAAACAATACTGTGTTTCAGCTTTAACGCAGACATCTATTGTTGCCCAGACATAATTCGTAACCAGCAGGTTGGAAAGCCTAAAACCTGGCAAGACATGAGATGCAGTGACGGCCCCAGCAAGCCTGCGAGTTTCAGCTGGAGATTTGATTTATAAAGAACGTGTTTTATCCAGGGTGTTCAGGAAAACAACCTGTTTCACACAATGGAAGTGCTAACATTTTCCAACAATCGCTCAGCGTAATCGCTCAGCATTTCCATGGCTACCTGTTTAATGCCACACTTAAACATCTCCAGAGCCTAACAGACCACATGCACATGCGTGCTGCATAAACATCTCTAAATATTATATCCTGTATCAATGTCCCCTGAAATCTAAACAACTCTGATGCAGAGCTGTGTTTAATATCAATACCTCAAGTCACTCAGAGTGTAATAACACAAGGGAAGCACTTTCAAGCACCGTGAAAGGCACTAAGTAAATGTAAATTATTGTTGTTGTTGTTAACGCACGGGTGAAAAATAATGTAGGATTCCATGAAATTCAGAAACCCCGAAGGCTGTCAAAGAAGTTGGTCCATTGAATTCTTATTTTTTTCCCCTCAGCGCACCAAGAAAATTCTGGATGATCTGCAGCTTGTGGAGGGAGGAGTTGGGAAGGCCGACAAGCAGGGAGTTGGCATAGTCGAGCCTGGACGTGATGAATGTGTGGAAGAGGGTCTCGGCGGCCTGAGGGGAGAAGCAGTGGCGGAGCTGGGCGATGGTGAGATATTAATTGAGGTAGTGCTGCATTATCCTCTGAATGAGATCAAGTTCGTTTTCGTCAGGTGGATATAAAAAGATTTTATGATGCTATTAAATAAAGGAGTTAGTATTGGCCAACAATCCTCCAGATTAATAAGGGAAACAATTAACAATCAGCTGGTGACCAGTGACCTGGAGGATGCATTACACTAATGGAAGTCTGGTAGAGACCAGAATTATCCTGAGCTCCAACTAACCATTGCTCAGGTCAATTTTTCATGTTATCTGCCCTGGTTAAATTTGCTCTGGTTGCACCCTGTTAATACACAATCTAATATAAAAATAAGACCCTTCTCTTTCTTTATGGCTGGGATTGGTTGTAGTAGGTGCCAGATGGAAGGGAGCCAATATTATCCAGAATATACAAGGCCAATAACTCACATTACCCTTTGAATAAGCTCTGTAAAATAGGACACATTGCAGCATAAGCCTTTTAGCAGACTTGAGCCATCATGGAAAAGCTGTTCCAGTCAAGCTGGAGCAAAGGGTCATTTCTGATGTTTACATTCCAATGAACGACTTGGGACGCTTAGCAGTTCTGAGTTCCTGCCCAATTGATTGGAATTTGGCGACACACAGAGAAACTCTAATCTTCCTCTGCTGTAGGAAAACCCGAGGTTAATGAGCATTGCAAACATTGATCTCATCATGATCAAATTGCACTCGCAGCTCTCCGCTATTTTATTCTGTACTGCAGAGTTTATGAGGAATAATTTAATTGTGTTTTGGAGCTTTTCACCGCCAGTGATGGCAGACACAGTTACTCAATTAATTGTGAATTGATTGTCTCGGGTTTATATAAAATAATAATCCTTGGATTTTATATGTCGCCTTATCACATCGTCTAGATGTCTCAAAGCAATTCACATGATGTACTGTAAAGTGGTATGACTGTGCATTTCGGGAAGTGCTGCATTGTCAGAGGTACCGTCCTTTAGCTGAGACGTAGAATAGCAAGGCCCAACTGCTTGTTTAACTAGACATTACAGATCCTGAGACACGAGACAAGAGTTTTCACCAGTGTTCTCCAGATAAATTGGAGATTAGCTTCATGATTGTTTGTGGGATCTTGCTGTGTGCAAATTCAGTCACTACGCTTGATAGTAATTACACGATAAAGGACTTTGAGACTATGATCGTATTGTATTCATTCACTCCATTTCTCCACAACGAGATCAATTTTCTTATTTTTCAGCTGCCCTATTATCTAAGAAAACACCCACAAAAATGTTATCATTTCTTTAAGGCGTATTAGACATTGTAATGGTATCACGACTTTTTGGTCACCCTGAATTGTTATCCATGTCGTGGCACGACATCAAGTGCAAGGATTATTTTCTTTGCTTTCTAACTGCCCAGTGTTTGTCTATCACAAGGGGGCGCAGGTGTGACTGAAGATTTAACTTCCAGACAGCAGAGGATTTACCATTTGCAATCCTGGAAAGAGAAACTTTATATTGAAATAAATGCTGTAAAACTAGCTTCAGAAACTGCTGAATGAAGCTCCCGACGCCACTGAAACCAGCAGCAGCCTTTGGTTCAACCCATCCGGGCGGTGGTATCATTCCTAAGGATTGACGTCACTCAAGATAGCGGAGAAATAAATAATTACTCTAACAAGACGGCTTCCCGAATAACTTGGGTAATGTCTGATTTGGGACTGAGCCAAACAGAGCCATAGGTCCGGGTTTAATCACAGCCAATGCAGAGATACTGGACATCAGTTGAGGCTACAATTGGCTTTGTTGCCCTGAGTTCAGGAGGGATCTCTGATAGCTCTCTGATGACTGCCTGCTGTTTGTGGGACACTTCTGTGTGCAAAAGAGCTGCCGCATTTCACCCACAAATTACAGTCAATTCACTTTACAATATATTCTGTGAAGTGCTTGGAGATGTCTCAATGACGTGATGAGGCGCTGTATCAAATGCATGGATTATTATTAAGTGGCACCATCATCCCCTCCCGTTGGGGACCGGGGACAAAAACAGCACAGATCTGTGGATGTATGCTAAGTGATGTTTTTGTTATGTGATCTCTCCACAAAATATATCGTCAATTTACTTGACAATATATTCTGTGAAGTGCTTTAAGATGTCTCAAAGACATTATATCAAATGCAAGGATTATTATTATAATAAAGATGAAAATGTGTGTCTGTCTAACCGATTGATGTGGAGACTCCAACAGGAGAAAGAGAGAAGACAAAATACAACAGAATTATATTTGTATAGCGCCTTTCATGTTGGGAGGACGTCCCAAGGCGCTGGACAATCAGTGTTTCGGACCCGAGCTGAGGGTCGGGATTGGGGAGGGTGGAGGGCAAGGGGGGAAGCAGGTGATCGAAGCACGGTCGAAGGGAAGTGTCTTGAGATGGGTCTTGAAGGACGCAAGGGAGGGTGCGAGGCAGAGGGACTGCGGGATGGAGTTCCAGAGGGTGGGGGCAGAGTGGCAGAAGGCCCACCCGCCAATGGTGGGGCGGGCGAGGCGGGGGACGTGAAGCAGGCCGGACGGAGCCCGCTGAGCGGAGGGAGCGAACGGGATGGTAGGGGCGGGGGTTGGTTAGGAGCTCGCAGAGGTAGGGAGGGAGCAAGGCCACGGGGAGCTTTGAAGGTGAGGACCAGGATCTCGAACTGTTGTCCTCTGCGTGACGGGAAGCCAGCGGGAGTCGGTGCGGGAGCGGGACACGGGCTGCAGAGTTCCGGAATGATCTGCAGCCCCCGGAGGCCGGTCAAACGAAAGCCGGCCGCAAAGGCGTAGCGGCCACCGGGGTCCAAGCTCGTTCTCGCCTCGTCGGTGCTTGCTGTAAAAGAAGACTGAGCCATTGAGCGGTCTCTGATCTGGGTGGCGGGGTGGGGGGTTTGGGTGGTGGGTGGGGGGGTGGGTGGGGGGGGAGAAGAGAGGCCCTGGAAGCAGAAATATAAGAGGGGAAATCCAGCTCCAGGTTTTAAGAGGGATCCTTTTTGACACAGTAAATAGGAGGAAGTGAGAAAGCTCACAGTCTGTGTGTGTGTGTTGTGCTCAATGGCTACTGTACAACAAGAGCCATCAGCCTGAGCCTAGAGGAGAGGGGGGTAAGGGGGGGGGGGGGGGGGGGCAACATAAAGGAGACCCTGTTTTGGGGTGGGGGGGGTGGGTGGGGTGGGAGGGAGACCCTGTTTTGGGGTGGGGTGGGTGGGAGGGAGACCCAGAGCAGAAGATCTGAGGGAAGAACCAACCTGATCTCTTCAACTCGCAACGCTGCTGGTGGTCACAGGAATGAGGACTGAAGCCGCTCGGCTTCTCCGGACGAGGCAGTTGGAGAGTTTCTGGCTGTTTGCTCTCTGAAGAAGCTTCTCACCCCCCTCTCCCCTCTCCCAACCCCCATACCCCCCATACCCCAACCCCACACTCTCCCTTCTCTCTATCCCCCTCTCTATCTGTCAGAGAAGCGGGGCTTCTTTTGTCTTGTCAACCCCCCCCCTCCTCCTCCTCACCTCACCCTCCCTCCCTCCATCCTTCCTCCCCCCTCACCCACCACCACCACCACCTCTCCCTCTTGTCTTGTCCCCCCCCCCTCCCCTCCCCTTCTCTCTCTCTCTCCCTCTCTCTCTGGGGGTGGGGGTTGCCCGTGACCTCCGGCTGTGTTGTCTGTGAGCGCTTTTTCTTCTTCTTCTCCTTCTTCTCCTCCTTCTGTCACACACACTCTCTCTCTCTCTCTCCTCCCCCTCTCCCTCCTCCCCTCCTCCTCCTCTCTCTCTCTCTCACACAAACACACACACACACCAACACACACACACACACCACCACCAAGATGGCGGACCTGGAGGCTGTGTTGGCCGACGTGAGCTATTTAATGGCGATGGAGAAGAGCAAGTCCACGCCGGCCGCCAGGGCCAGCAAGAAGATTGTCCTCCCGGAGCCCAGGTAAGCCCCGCGCGGGAGAAAGGAGGAATTCTGAGGTAAAAAAGGGGTTTAATTTCGATTTCCCCCCCCGCCCCCCCCGCCCTCCCCAAAAGAGAAGGCAGTCAAGTCAGTCTCTCCCTCCGTGTCCAGTTTGAATCCTCTCCCCATTCTAAACCGCCAACCGTCTCCCCCCCCCCCCCCACCCCCCACCCTGTCCTTGCGAAAGGAGCTTCTTCTTCTTCTCCCCCCCCCCCCCCCCACCCCACCCCACACCTTCCCTCCCTCCCACCTTCTCTGAAACCATTACGATTTAGAGGTGGGGGGGGGCAATAAATATCCGACTTAAGAACGGGTGGGAAGGGAGTGCAAGGTGGGCTGAGGGGGGGGGGGTTGGGGGGGGAAAAAAGGGGGGGCAGCTTCAGATGCTCAAGGAAACAATTTTTAATCGTATTTTTTTTTGAGGGGGGGGGTTGTGTGTGGTGTGTGTGTGTATGGGGTGGGGGGTTGGTGCTGGTGGGGTTGATATATTTGTCTCTTGATGGATAATAGTCTCTTCTTTATTTCCCCCCCTTTCTTCTTTCTCAAAACCAACCCTTCTCTCTCTCTCTCTCTCACTCCCTCTCTCCTTCCTTCCTTCCCTCCCTCCTCCCCAAACTGTATGAAATATCCGATTCACGATTGAACCCTGAAATGATTGGCATTCTGCACCTGCAATGACTGTGACTTGACTTGACTTCCCCATGAAAATCCATCCCAGCAGCAACCTGCAGATTGCAAAGGAGGGAGGGAAGGGAAGGGAGGGAAGGGAAGAGGAGGAGGAAACCCCCCCCCCCCCCATCAGACAAATTATTCAAAAATATTCCTTATGCAAAAGATCATGCACAAAAAAAGACCTAAAAATCAAAACAATACATTGACATTTCCCTCAACGCCCTCCCCACACCCATACCTGTCCTCCTGAGTTACATATTATCCCTGTATTATTTTCCAGATGTTCCCAATTGACTCCCAGGCATATTTTGGAATGATATAAATATGAATTATATGGAGGCTTTTTAATGTAAAAACAACATCCTTGTTTTAGAAGCTAGTTTGGATTGAGCCGTGGTGTTTATTTGCCTCAAATAACTACGCTTTGGTCAGCATTCTTATGTATTTATTATTTGAGTGCAACATGCCTTAATTGTTTACCGAGTTTTAAAACAATTCCGTGTCAAATGGTTCCATGACTGACTGCATTGAAATGTAGTGTTGGTATATAAGCGGAAACGTGTATAAGGTGGAGTGAAAACCGTTTTTTTTTTCGTTGGAAGGAAAGGGTTATTTCAAATGTAATTTTCAGAAAATAGACCGGTTCAGGCTCAGAGCGAGGAGGTTTTTTTTTCCCCCTCTCTCTGAATGTCGTTTCCTGTTTAAATTGAACAAACAAGCAGTCATCGGAGTGTGGGTCTGCAGCTTCTGTGAACCAAAACAATCTGAAAATTATCATTAGTCGTAGACCGTCACGAAACATGAAAGCAATCAGAATGTACGTTTAGAGTCGATCTGCAGCGTTAATCTGCAGCGCAGAAGGTCAGTCACTGATTCAGCCTTCACAAACTGTGTTTCGAGAAATTAGAGCAAAAAGTGATATTGCTCTGTTGCAATTGCTGATCGTGTTCGGATCCATCCTGACGTATCAGCCTACTTTGTTTTAAATATGCTGAAAGTAGGCTTTGTATAATAATAATCCTTGCATTTGATATAGGGCCTTGTCACGTCTTCGAGACGTCTCAAAGCGCTTCACAGAATATACTGCAAAGTGAATTGACTATATTTGTGAGCGAAACACGGCAGCCAATTGCGCACAGCAGTGTCCCACAAACAGTTGTGGATTGTGTGACCAAATTCTTATTTTTTTATTTTTCTTGAGGGATTATTATCAGGCGTGTGGAGTAAGGAAACTGTCATGTGCGTGTATATTAAGAGTATTTTAAACCAGCACAGGGCTGTTGCCATCGTCTTTCTCTCCTTTTCTTTCTCTTTTTGAGAGTGATGAAAAATAATTTTCTGTTTAAATTGTAATTTCTATTTTTCTAACTAACAAACTTTCTCAATTTTAATCAAATTTGACCATCGACCAGCCCTGTTTTGTATGCATATGTGTGTGTGTGTATATGTGTGTGGTGATGTCCCCAAGAGAAATCGGACATGTTTGCTCATTTCCTGAGGAAGAGAGTTGGTGCCTTGGAATTTGCAAATATTAACAAGAATGTGTTTAAAAACACATAAATAAATCTTTTAAATATCTAGCACCAAACATGAGCTTGCCAGGCGATATCATTTATTATGTGTCCCCATTAATGATAGCATACTGTGCCACTGCAGGGCCACTTTGGCTTTGTTTTGATAAATAAAATGCATTCCATTTTTTAGATTTCCGTAAAATCACATTCTGGAATTAAACCACCTAATGTTGCGTGTTACAAAATGCAGAGATAATCAGACGTAGACGGCAGGAACAAGACCTTGATTGTAGTCTAACCTGACTGGCTGTAAATTCACAAGTGTCAAAAGCCTTTTGGTTCACAAGTGCTCTAGGAGGGAATGATGAAAGGATTTTTTTTCCCCCCCCAATGAAAAGCCATTTGATCTTCCCCACCATAAATGTCTTTGGCCCTTGTTCCATCAGCATGTGTGGCTTGGCTTTCAAATGATTCTGGATGCTAGTTGGACTTTTGAGTGAGATGGTTGACCTGACAAAAGTGCATGAAAATTGTTCCCAAGAATCCTAGATGGCCACAGTAGGTTAAACTCCAGAATTTTGGCTCCCTGGACCTGAGTTTGAGTGCACGACCAGCTGATGATATTTCCTGTTCCGGTCACTGACTGTAATCATTAAGAAGTTTGGGGCTTTGTGTGAAGTCCTAAAGTGGTGACTGTACATGTTGGCATCCATTAGTCAACTTGCATTTATATGGTGCCCTGTACTTGGGTGGCATCTTGGAGTGCTTAACAGTGGTGGAGCTTGCTGCCGAGCTGCGGAGAGAGGGGAGGTGACCGTAGGCACATTCAAGTAGAAGAAGGTCTTCAGATGTGATTGAGGGCTGGCAAGGGAATGGGCAAGGCAGAGGGATTGTGGCAGCGTTCCAGGGTTTGGAGTCGTTTTGGCTGAAAGCATGGCCGCCAGTGGTGAAGCAGAGGGGATGAGGGTCATGTAGAAGGCAAGCGCAGTTTCACTCGTCATGGTTCTCTTTCCCCCCCCACCACCACCCCCGTCTGGGTTCCTTTCCTGTAATGGTTTTCTCCCCCACCCCCTTGGTCATGGTTTTCTGCTCCCCTCCTCCTGTCATAATTTTCTTCTTCCACCCCTCTCCCCTGCATGGTTTACCTCTTCCCCCAACCACCACCAAGACGCACCCTAAAATAAAATTAGTTATTCACTTCATGGTTCTACTATGCATAAATTGGCTGCTGTATTTATCTGCAAAATATCCAACTACTACACTTTAAAATGGGAAGCAACCTCCTACAGTTTCAATCTCAAAACCAAGGATTATTATTGTTATTCTATTATGATGTAGTACATTGTACTGGGTGTTCAGCACTCAATTTTATCTTTGCAAACTTACTGGTGTCCAGCATTATGACACCCAGGATCCTCAATGTATTATAGGAAATCCTGCATTCCCGGCTTTATCTTTTATCGCTGTTGATTTAAAGGCAAGAGGTGAACAAGTGCTAACTTATACAAATAAACTGGTTGGAATTAGAGGGCAAAGGCTAATAGAAATCAGCACCACTGTTTTATATTTATTTGAATTCTTCTCCTACGCTTTCTGAAGTTCATGGTGTCCTGCAGAATAATAGGCTTTGACCTTACACCTAATAATTTTTCAGAACTGATATTGTTTTCTCCTGTGCTTGTTCCTCACATGCTGATGTGCAGTCTGTCAGATTATTGCAGTCTTCTTATCCTACAGATGAACGTAAGAAGGATGGAACAATTCAGACGACCTGTTGCTCTCAGTGCATTGTGAGCAATAGGATAATACATGGCTACTGCACTCCTCTGCTCACCTCTTCTGCTTGTTTAATTCAGGCTTGCTGTATGTACCCTACACTCTCTACATCACCGTTGGTGCCTGAGCTTTTAGATACTGCACCCCCAACTTCTGAACTCCCTCCCTCTACACTCCCTATTCTCTATCTGTCTTAAGTCTTGCCTTAAAACATACCTCTTTGACTCGATGGTCTCTCCTCCCCCTCACCTCCTTGGTTGGAGCTGAACCAGGTCACTGTAGTACTTTTGCCGACAGAATACGCAATCACTACACTTTACAGTAAATGCTGTGAAGCACTTTGAAACATCTTTCCAACACGAAAATAAATAATATTTTATTTTGAATTAGCATTATCAAATTATTTTATATTTAATTAGCATTATCAAGCGCAATGATTATTATTATTATTATAATGATTATTATTTATGGTCCTTTTCCCTCTCTCCCTCACTCGAATGCCGATCCCTTCTTTGTAAAGCACTCGGGAGTTATCCTATACGAAGAACACTATATTAAAATGCAAGTTATTTTTATTGGTAAATAATTCCCTTTTAAAAGATATTATAGATCCATCTTCAACTGCAATTTTGGTCGGGCATTGCATATCCTAATACTGTAATTCTGTAAAAGAAAACTTATTTTAGTTGATCTTGAATTCATGCCCTCTATTTGGCCTTTATTTTGGTGAGGCTGACGCTTGCAGAAACTCATCACCACGTTTAAGAATATCTAATTCAGACTAGACTAAATCAGATTAAGACAGAGTATCCAGGCTGCAGTTCCACCTATGCCTGCTACCTATGGGTGGTGTTTTCCCTGTGTCTGGAAAGGAATGTGCTCTGTGTCCCTGCAGGGATGCACCCTGCTTACCTAATTCCAGAGAATATTCGGAACAGGTTTGTGGGAGCCAAGGTTTGGGATCCCCGGAATGTGTGTTGGAATGTAACCTGCTAAAACTGGAGAGTTTGCCATTGAGCGCACAGTGGACAAGCTTCTTGTTGATTGTCCAGCTAGGCCCACCCTCCTGTTAGGATTTTCGCTCACTCTGCAAACAGACGCAGAGCGGGAAGTGTTCTTGCTCCCAGTGACATGATTGCCCCTCAGTGTCCTGCTAATGAAGTCAAACTGGTTGTTCTATCATCAGCAATGCCCTGTAGTACTGTGGGCACCTGGCTCAGGAACTGAACTACAAAGTCCATCATAATGGATTGACTCGATTCTGATCCAGTAAGGTGGATACTAAGCCCTGGATATATAAATAACATGAGTTTGTCCAGGTAATTGCCTAGCAGCTGTTGTCGCAAGCCTCAGTGTTTCCTCATTGGGTGATTGATGGACTTCTGTCTTCAACGTGGTAGGAGGGCCTACACAAGACAGTAAGTGCCAGCCACCTTGATGTTCTGGAGGTCCATGTTCAATGCTACAACATCTCAACATCAACTGATTGATCCAGGTCCTCATGTGAGGGGGTTTGGTAAATAGATGTACCCACCATGAAGCCACCTCCGGTGTGATAGGCAGCAGGTGATGTAGGTCAAAACCCTTCCTGCAGCTACTTCCCCTATTTTTTTACCACCTCACAATTTGTTCATGGACTCCAGCTAAAGGCCCAAAGAAAAAGCTTTGTTGCATGCCCAGGAGCTCTGCACCATAAAGATAATTGTTTGTTTACATATCTTCTATGTGACAGGTGTCAGCCGAGCCCACTTTGCAGCTCTCTTGAGTCAGAAGATTGACGTCTAGGTCAATGCTCATGAGGACTTTGAGTTCATGGTGTAGGCCTGACAGTTTAATATAGTGATCATTCAATGAGTTGTTGCAAATCAGCTGCTCGCTTACAAATATATAGTCACTACACTGTGCAGTAAAATTATCATGTCTTTTGTCTCCTCCTCCACTGTCATTTGACATGCATTCGACCACTTTGACCCTGCTCCTTGGAACTCTCTTCCTAAATCTCTCTGTCTTGCATCTTCCCTCTCTGCTTTCAAAACATTTCCAAAAATCTACCGCCTTGACTGTGCCTTTGGTCACCCCCAACCTTGTTCAGGATCCCACTCCATCGTGCCAAGTGCATTGAGTCATTTTCCTACGTGGAAGTGCCAATTAAGTGTAAATTATTGTAGTATTCTATGTCTCTCGATGCAGAACTAATGTTAGACTGCTTCCTCTTTCAGAGGAAAATTGAAGAAAATAATTTGCATTGAAATTGTACGTTCTGTGTGTTCATTTTAAAAGTCAACATATTGTTGCGGAACTTTTTGCTTAATAGAACTCATCTATTTTTTAAAAATGTTTTCATTCACAGTATTCGCAGTGTTATGCAGAAATACCTCGAGGAGCGAGACGAGTTGACCTTTGAGAAGATTTTCAACCAGAAAATTGGTGAGTGCCCAGCTTTGTGAATGAAAGGCGCGCCCGTGTTGACTTCTAATGCTTTGCTGCAGGGCCTGGAATATTTCACTGGAGATTCATTCCATTTTTAAAGATGCCCCATGTCTCAGGTGAAAATGTCAGACCTGTTGTAAAAGTATGTTGGCTCCCTGATCTACTGTTCGACCGCCTAATCACTGGCTCTACTTGTGCTGTAATCCACTTTGGTCTGAAAAAGGGAATTTTATCGCACACTGAATGTGGTAAAGGGCAGACTGGTTTCCCGGAGTGGCAGGGCCCAAATGCAACTAAATGGAAGGATTGTGTGAGAGGTTAATTGTGTGAGACATAGAATATTAAAAAAAACATTGAACGGTGAACATATGTATTGGTCTGCTCAGCAAACGAGTGCAGGCGGGCCAGCCGGCCTATTGGATCATCAAATTCTGGAGGGAATTAACTCTCTAGTGACAATATCGATTTGAGGGATGTGAGAGAAAGAGTACCACAAAATTATTTATTTTACTTTGTGTTGGGCGACAGGACAGGAAGGTGACAGATGGACTGAAATGATATTTTCCAGTCCTGTTTGTTCCTGCGCACCTACATTCTCCACGCCAGTTTTGCCGTCAAGGGTTCAGGTGATTTATTATTTGTTCTGACCGTAGAAAGAATAAAACAACAGAAAGCCGTTCCAAGATGCCAGATTCTTTCTTCCCAGAGGGCATGTTGATGTTCTGCTTCAGAGCTTAGTTTGGAAGTGTTGTAATTATGAATTTTTAGTGCTTTCAGTTACCATAAAAAGTCCCAATCTGAGCAGAACTGTAAGAAGGCAGGCAGTTTCAGCTTTACTGTTGAACAGTCTGGGTGCTAAACGAAAGAACCAGGTGGCTGGGGAGTTTAATCCCTTTCAGGAGTTTAGTCCAAAGCCTGGAAAGGACTAATCGTGTTCTGCAAAGCCCTTGATCACCTCTATTAGTACTTATGCTTCTTACCCTCAATCCTGTTCCAAACAGATATTCGTCCACCCCTTATTTAAGTATGTTATGTGGCACAATATTGGCTGCTTTGTCTGGAATTTAGTTCTGTCCCACAACTTGCTGTTTGCCAGCGTTCAACCTTTTGCAGAATTGTCTTTTGGATGGGGAGTTTCCAATTCGATTGATTGGAAACAATAGAAACTGGGTGACAAAGGTCAAATGAAAGGTGTTGCGGATTTGACATTTTGTTCAATATGTAATTAATATAGATATAAAGAATAGGTGATGATGAAAAAAAAAGCATGGCAATTATATAACTGATATAGAGCCAAGGTTCACCCATTGCTTCTGTGAAGCTTGTGTCCCTGATGTTCTTTTTTTGGAACTGTCCGTACCTCCTTGTATGAAAGGTTCGCTGTCCTGAATAAAGGTGTGTGTGTGTGTGATTGCTGTCACTGATGACTCAACAGGTGATGAAAGCAACTCAAATGACAGCGCTTTAGGTGATGGACTTGTTGAGTTTTTTTTACCTTGAGACGTGTCTTACTGAGGTGCAGGGTTTCGTAACTGAATCTATGTTGAGGAAGACAAAACGTTCGATTATCTTCTATTGTTAATTTTGGGTGGGGGGGCGCGGGGTGAGCGGAGGATATTCTAGTCTAGATATATACAAGCTACAAAATAATTGAATTCCTTTTGCAGTCTCATGCATACAATGTTGACTTTGCTGATCATTTTTGTTATTAGTTGCTACCTTCACCGACCCACCCCTGAATTTTGTGACCCGAAACATTATCACATTACTCGCTGATTGCTTTTTCAAGCTATGACGTTCTCATGTGTCAAGCCGCTGACTTGAGTATGATTTTGTCTCGTGCTGTTGTTAATTTGTAATAAATATTTACTGAGAGCTACAGGATGAGGGGAGCAGTGCTTTCACAGGGAGTCGTATAGGGTGAATGCACCAAGGGTACAGTAAGTTATACAGGACGGCGTGATGATACCAGCAACACAGATCTGTACTGGGGTGAGGGAACATGGGGAGGTGTACTTGAGCATGGAGAAAAACGGGGAGGTTTATTGGGGTGTAACACAGGCTATGGGGGGGGAGGGAAACATAGGAACCTATATTGTGGGGGGGGAGGGGAAACTATGGTGTGGGGGAAGATGTGCAGTTTTACAGGGGGAGGGAACACATGGGGAGCTGTATTGGGGGCAGGGGAAAAGGCAGGGACCTGTATGGGGATGGCAAGGCAGGGAGCTATCCAGGAGGATGCCAACTATACTGGGGGGAGGGATGACGAAATGGGGGACTATATGTGTTGCTGTGTTCTCTATTGAGGATATGAATTGTACTTTCCCCTACCCCCCATTAATACAGCATCTTCTCCTTCTGGAGGCCTGTTTATCAAATGGCTGTGTGCAGCCTCAGTAACTGCTGTAAGTGATGATTTATTCATGTGAAGGAGAGCTGGAACAGCTGGCCTGTAGCCCCAACACAGCATGAAAGCCGTAAAAGTTTCAGGGATGGAAATTTCAGAGGTGCATTCAGTCAATGCCTGCCTACCACTCGTGCACGCCTCCCCACCCATGCCTGCCTGCTCCTACATTGCTTGCGGCTCCTCGGAAATCTTGCTTGTTTTGATTTGGCAGCAAAGCACTGGTAATATGTATAGTTTAGTGAAGCTCAAGCACACCTGCGTATTGATCAATGTGGGACGAATGGAGAAGTTAGGAGAAGGGTTAGGATATGGCAAGAGCAGAGATTGAGGCAGAATCGATATTAGCTATCAAACGGAAACTAGATTAATACCTAAAAAGGAGTCAATTACAGGGGTACGGGGAAAGGGCAGGTAAATGGGACTGAGAGGATTACTCTTAAAGGAGCCGGCACAGACAAGATGATGTAACTGCGGACCGGATGCCTGCATGGTGTGATCGGGATGAACAGCTTGGCAAGGTCTGGAGGCAGCGATGCCTGTCCATGGCTACAAAGCTGTGCATTTGCAGAGCATGTGTGAATGTCGATGTTCCTGTATATGGCTCTGAGATGTGGAAGCTGCTCAAGAGGTTGTGCTTCGAGCGTTTCATACGTGGTGGCAGCGCCGGATTCTTGGCATACACAGCTTCAACCGTGTTATGAATGACATAGAGTCGACTCAGACCAGCTTACCAGCGATGTGTGCAGCGACATAGTGTGGAGGTGACACTCGCTCTTTGGATATGCCTGCTGGATAGATGAATGGTCACCGGCACATTGCACTTTCGGACTTGCTGAGACCGGAGGGCGTCCGAGGCGTACCTGGGTGTGACGGTTTAAGGCCGATCGGGCCTTGAGCCTCAGGAGGCCTGGGACACGGTTGTTGTGGTGATCATGATGACCCAACACTGATCACGTGCGGTAGTAGTGTTACACATGATGAACTGGATGGCCTTCTGTGTTGTAAGCTGCTATGATAATGTAGCAGAGGCATGCTCATCCATGCATTGTGCCGCTAATGCAATGTGCATGGGCAGGAGCCAGCTGGCCCCAGATCTCCTTCACATGACTCATGCAGCAGAGTTGTTCACTCAGATCTCTTTAGCAGATTTGTAAAAACGTGGTGAAAATCAGGCAAGCAGAATAATGAGTCCGGGGCAATCAACGGTGCTGTACAGAAGGATGACAGGCGGAGAATTTTATTCAGCGAAGCAGTTAAATTGCCAGTAATGATTGTGCTGTGTTTTCGAACATCCATTGTTGGCATTGCGTCTGATTTAACAGAAACCGCAGTACGTTTTCAACAGGTCAGTATCAGGAGTGACTGATTTGAACCAATAGGCATCTCTCTTTGGATTATGTTAAGTGCGTTGTGCTCCAGTTCACAGGATCCTTACAGTGGAGCCAGTACTTACACTATCTGAGAGGTTGGACATTGGTGTAGCAAGGTCCAACGGTAGCTTCTGTTGTGCTGTCTGGCTTTTTACTGTGGACGTTCAGCGTCTGTTAGCGACCAGCCCCGAATCCTTTATTTTCTACTTTCAGAACATTTTATAGTTTAGTTACTGGAGTGGTATTCTCACTGATTTTTTCCCTGTGATGTCCCAGAATATGCTGGGCAAGACGAAAAGGTGGATACCACTTTAACTGACCTCAAGTGGGTGTCTCACGACAGTCTCTGGCTCAGTTTGACCGTCGCTATTTTTGGTATCGGGCAAGTGATTAGTGCCCCCTCCCCACTTTTTTTTGATTAGGTGGATCTCCAACACAGGCGGAAAGTTATTACCATGCCTAAGAGTATCTAAATCAAACTTGAGTTCCACATATATATATGCAACCTACACATGAAAATTTCCTAACTACTGAGTATTGACTCGATTTCGACATTCTGTTGCCAAGCGTGAGAGCGTTGCCACGATCCTCCTGCCGAGATCCCTTATTTATTAAGCAACGATTTCATCAATTGAAGATGTGGGGCTCGAGCAGCAGTCAAGTCAAGGTCAAGTGATATCATGCTCTGGATATATGAATGTGTGTTTGCAAACTCCAGGTAACGCTTTCCAGCAGCAGCATCAAGCATCAGTTACTTTATCAGCTATGTGATCTTTATTGCCCACCAGAACAGATGGATGGGACTCTCTAATTTGAGGACTGCACCTCTGACAATACCGTGGCACTCCCCCCACACTTTCTCCCCATCCCACCTCCCCTCCCAAGTTACAAGGAGTGCCCGCCTGGACTGTGAGCTTAAAAAGTGTTGAAATCTGAGCAATACTGCCATTGCAAAGCATTCAGTGCTTGTCCTCTGTGGATCAAGGGGCTGGAGTTAGCCCTGGGGTGAAGGTCGGTTGTATCCTTCGCAGGCCTGAGTGCGTAAGCGTTGTGGGGACAGAAAGCCGGGAACAAGCTTGGCTCAGTGACCTTTGCTAAGACAATATTGACTGCTGCACTTGCACTGGAATCACACTGCCACACTGTCACTGTAGCCAGATATTCAAATGGCAAGTTGTTTATTGTGCTAATTACTGACCACAGGCTTTTCCTCACCTTCA